CAACTGAACAGAGTGGCGAAAGTAATTTTAACGTGGCTAAAATAGAACTTTTTTCAACTTCTCTGAACTGACAAGTGGCGAAAATAAAAGCGTTTGCTAAATTTATTTAGAGGGGTGGACCCTCGAAATATCATTAATTTTCACCACTAGTTGCACAAACTACTATTTCCTGGTTAAATATAACAAAACTCGAGTCTGTAACAAAACTGAAGAAATTATTCCTAGTCGAATACAAAAAAACATTAAATCATCAAATTCACACCGAAACAACTGCACGCACAAAGATTTGCATCTCCGAAAATATTTTCTCCGCTACCGAACAGGTGTTGATATTTATGACCTAGAAATTTATCAGATTACAATCTAACCACCTTTTGCTGGTGAGAAATGATCAAACTTTTACCCTTGAAAAATCTTTGCTATTTTTAAATTCTCTCTCACCCGCACAACAACAAGAGTTACTTTGATGAATTTATACTATACATTCTATGGTAAAATTTACATCCCACAGTGTGCAATCAATTGAAACGAAGAGTTAGAAAAAAATTCCTTTAAGAGAATTTACCCCGCAATGGTGGTACGGAACAAGAGATATTGTATACACTATACAAGAGATATTGTACTATATTTAACACACGCAATGTCATCGCTTCAATTTCTACAGCAAAATTAGCAGAATCTATATACCCTCACTATAAACACACAAACACACATACACCTTGAAATAATTTACGTTTAACTGAACTTGCCTGCAGTGTTATGTGTAATGGTCAATGTACAACATGTTTGCACCACACATGAATCCTATATTCTTTGTCTTCGTTCCAAAGACCCAAGTAAAATCATACCCACGTAAAGTTTCTTATAAATGAGACATAACAACCATTTCTGTTAAATTTATATACTTAGCACTTATGTATAGCATTTCATTATTGTATTTCGCAAATGAAAAGGGAAACAAAAACTGCGATGTATAAATCAAAACCGTATTGTATACAGAATATATGTTTACAAGGAACAAATGATCAGAAGCTATATAAACACACGGCAAAAAAGAGGAGAAAACATGAATTGAATCAATTAAAAGCTGTCAATGTTTTCGTAAAAATTAAATTGCAGTTTAATGACCCTATATTGTTGATGCACTTGGCGCGCTTTACCTTGCGGGTAAGAATGCGGAATAAATTCTTGTCAACCTACGCACTTTACCAGATCATTAATGTCTTTATATGCATATAATACCATACACTCGAGTCAGTAAATGTCAATATTTAAACGTTTTTATTGGTAAATAAGATCAACAAACCTGGGGGTCTTTTGTCGAAAAAAAATGCAGTACAACTTTTTTTCCTAAATTATTATTCGCTACTAGTAATTTTTTTCTCCACCTCAAAAAATATAGAATATAACTTTTAGTAGCTTTTCGTGTTACAAATCTAAAAAAAAAATATCAAAACTGTATCAAATCCTAAAAAAGTAGTAAATAGTAAGTTTTACTAGATGAGTATGAAGCCTGGTTTAGAAATCAATTCGTTCCAATCGAGATTTCACGGAACGGATGCAAAAAAACAACTTTGCAAAACAAAACTATTTAAAATTAGCTACACGAGCAAAATTCTAAAAATGCTTCTAAAGAATCAGCTGTAAATCGTTCTCTATCCATACATTTCAATAAATAAATCCTATTCTATAGCCATACACTAATGCTGATTTAAATTCATATCATTTGAAAGACCTATCGAGTGACAGCAAAAAGATAAAATGAAGAAAGCACCTTACATATACAGTTGGACCATTAATAGTCGATCTTCTGTTGAAGACAACTGCCTGCATAAATTAACCTTGTGAGCCAAAGTATCTTAAGACCTTAAGTAACGCGGGCACTCAGTAATTGCCCGTCGTGGGTTCCCTGGCGCCCCTCAGCGCTTGTTAACCACAGACACGTTTGGACAATCAACCGCAAATGTTGCCCTCATGTCCCAAGACAAAACTATTTCGATGCAAAAAAAACAATTTCACACTCATCGAATTTCTTCACGCACAAGACATTTTCTTGTCAATTTTATTGAACATGATTGATAAAATTTAAATTAATCGTGTTATGCAAATGCATGCTATATGTTATATTATTCGACATCTAGATTTTGCTTTTTGATTACTTTTTTCAATAACATTACTACTTTTCTTTTTTACTACTTTTATCTCTTCTTTTCTCTTTCTACTACTTTTATCCTTTCCTTTCTTTTTTCTACTACTTTCTTCTTAATTTTTCACTTCTTTATAGTGCGAAAAATCTACGTATAGGAATTTATTTACAAATATAAACCAAACGTCAATGAAGCTCCTTTTCTTTTTATATACCAAACTGTACTTTCTATTTTAGCAATAAATTTCGTTTTACAACCTCGACATGTCCGATTGACATCTTTATCCGCGTGTTTTTGAATAAAAGATGTGCCGCGGCTGCTTCACATTCGGAGAGCTGCGAAAATATACGTTGTCGCGCAAAAGTACGCGCGGCATCCAAAAAGAAAAAAAAATTCCTCTCGCTATGTTGTATTCAATACACGACACGTGTTCACAACAAATCGAAATGTAATTTTATTTTAAATAACACCCACTTTTCCAATCAAGAATAAATAAAAATAATAACAAATAATAAATATCAAATTCTTCAAGACGTTCAACAAATAAAAATACAAAATGTACAAATAATCGACAACCTCAAATATTCAGCATATTTTTACCCAAATATCTAAAAATCAAAGCAAAATTGAAAACACTGCATTTATTCTAAGAATATCAAAATTGAGACTAAAAACGAATCAAAAGTGTTGCGAAGCAACGTTTTGATTCGTTTTTAGTCTCAATTTTAATATTCTTGGAATATAAGTGAAGAAAATCGAAAAGACAAAATTAATGGTTCTGGAATATTAAAGAATTTATTAATAAAAATTCTTTCACAAAAATTATCGAATCCTTTTAAAATATATAATGTCTCTTCGACAGATTTGATTTTCTGCAGAGAAAAATGTCTTGAGAGAGTGAACAAATTCATTCGATTTATCTTCTGACCTAATTGAAACGTCTCTAAGAATTATATTAAGATTTACCACCAAAACTGTCGACAATTTATTTCAAAAGCTCGCAATAAATTAAATGGTGTGAAATTCTATCAATTCTCCTAAGACTGAGAAGAAGCTAACTTAAATAAACAAACTTGCCAAAAATATATCTCTCTGTTACAGCCGGAAGAGAATGGAGTATCACATTAGGAATAAGGAAGTCTTGCCAATACAAATTAAATAAATCACTACACTATATCTTCTGCATTCAAAATTGCAAAGCGTTAGTCAACGTTTAAAACGTTTACAACAGACATTGGTATACAAATTTTTTTTAAGGAAAAAAGTTTAGAATCTTTTTTCCTTAAATTAGGTGAAAAGGTGAATTATTTTCTAAAAATAGGAGACCAAATGGTGACAAAGACACATTGTAATTATTATAATTAAGTAATTAATTGCAATATAAATACAAAAATACAAGAAATAAAGTTCCAAACGATTGAATTGGAAATTGATTGAAATTTAAAATTTACATTGTTTGAACTTTGGAAAAATTGAAATTCAAAACAATTGGGAACTCGAGCTTAAAGCAATCAATAAACACAAAGAACATAACATCAATTAAAATTCATTTTGGAAAAAATGAGGTATTTCCTAAATTTTTCATTTCACAATGTGTAAAATTGTAAATGTAAAAATAAAATTCTTAATACCGTTAAAGGAATTATTGCTTCTACCTGCAGAGGAAAATATTAATCCTTCTCTAATTTTCCTCACACCGAATGCCCCCCTCCCCAATAACAAAGATCGACAATAATTTATTATTACACGTTTTCCTATTAAGTTATGGTTTAATATAACTTCTGTAATTAAATGGTGACTTGTTCGATTTAAAACTTATCAGATAAAACGTCTTATAAGGTATATTTACATCACTTCTTCATTTCAACATATACGTTCCAGATGAATTTTTTCAATTAACCATCTTACACGATAAAAGGTATATCTTGTTTTTAGAGCAGAATCTTCACGATGAAGAAATAAATGAGAAAATTCATGTGGAACGTATACATATAGACATATATACATATATAGCAAAAGCAAAAGATGAAAAATTGTTAAGCGCGGCTCAGTTATAACGGAAGACGTTTGAAAAAAATAAGAGAATTTCTTAGTGAGAGATACTGGCGCGAAAATATGCAAACCAAAATCTATATATACATATTATTAAATCTTTCCCAAGGAATAAATTAATTTATGCAAACTATGTACACCTTTAAAGTTTCAAACACCTGGAGAAACATATATCATGATTTTCATCATGAAGGATTCATTTTCTAATTATCATCATCATAAGAGAAAAAAAATTGGAACATTCATCATTAAATTGAAACTGTTTTTTAATATCCAACTAACGGGTGTTTTATTTCATTTTTTTTAATATCCGAGAATTATAAGATCAGATGTCTCAAGTAGAGAAAATTCAGAGGAAAAACAAAAATTTAATTTCTTCTTAACTTCCCAGACCAACGTCATTTTCCAGGGTGTCTACTATTCAACAAAATTCCCAGCTATTACCCGACTTTGTCCTAATTTTTCTCATCAAATTTAAATTTATTTGATTTCAAAAATAAATAAATCTACTATAAAATTAATTATTTTTAACTAATTAAAATTTAGTATAAATATCAATAAAAACTGATATAAAAAGCGATTTTTCAAAAACAAATTAAAATAATAAAACTTTTTTTAATTTGATGAAAAAATTCCCGGTTTTTTATTCCTGGCTTATTTCCGGTTTTTCCCGGTCAAATTAAATTCCCGGTTTTTCCGGTTAGTAGACACCCCCTGTTTTTCCTGACATTTCCCTAATTTCTCTCTGATTTCTCTGACCTGTGCAACAACCCTAAAAATTACAGAACAAAAATGTTTCAGAATGAGGAAAATATTCAAAAAGCCGTTCGACTCACTCAAAGGGAGAGAAGATTTATAAAATTTGCATCTGTTGAATTTGATGGTCAGCTTTATATGACGCCGCAAGATTTTTTGGACAGTGTCGTCGAATCACAACCAAGACGTAAGATTCACATTTCTTCAATTTAATTTCCTCTAAACTATATCTCAATCAATCTCAAATATGTGAATAGAAACTAGAAGAGCAAATTGATATCAATTTTTTTTTTTTTAAGAGCATTTGAACCATTATGCTTTTGCACAAACTGTGACATCATGATTCAAGTGCCTTTAAAAATAATGTAATATACATAAAAATAAAATAATTTTTTTATCATGTAAAACAAATCTATTTTTTATATAAATTTTCACACATCAATTTTCAGTTCGGTAAAACTTTTTCACAAAATATAAAAAAGCAGAATAGAATCTTTGTTCCCACAAACACCCAAGTTCCAAGGTCACAAACTTCGTCTCACACGTATACATACTTTATTTGTTCACACGCTTTCCACATAAGCACACGTTTCTTAATGATTTATTTTTGCAAAAAAAAAACTTGAGAAAAAAATGAACGTAAAAACTGTTTGTTTCTATTCACATATTGAAATATTAAAAATGGGACTTAATATAAGAGAGAACATTATTTTTCTTTCATATATTTTCAGCTAGGCTAAAAAGACGATATTTAACCAAAAAAGAATTAGAAGGAATTAAAAATTCAACTCCTTCACTTCGCCACGGTAACAAGCACATGTTTCGCAGTCTTCGAGATAAAGGTACACAAATTTTACCACTGCTGTCTACAAGAACAAAAATTTTACAAAAAATGATAAATGATGAACAACATTTTTGATACGTTTTTTGTCTCAATTTGATATCCTTAGAAAAACTGTGTATGAAAAAAGTGCCAAAAACTAGCAATAGTCGCTTGAATCCGAGGCCTTCTCTCTAAATCACTCAAAATTTTAACTAACTCAGATTTAGAGACTTAACAGCATGTGATTGTTACAGAATTCAATGTTAATTTTTTCGACCACTTTTCTCTTAAAATATTAAATAAATTAAGCTAGTTTTTTGTGAATAACTCTAAAATATCATAAAGAAGGGCAGTGATGTGAAAAAGTTTTAATATTTTTTAAATTATTTAGTAAAAAATAACTTTAAAATTATCAGTTCTCAAAATCACTTTTAATCAATTTCTCGTCTTTTCCGATTTCAAAGTATTTTTTTATAATTTATTTTAGAATTATTAAAACTTTTGCACATCACTGCTCTTCTTTATTATATTTTAGAGTTATTCACAAAAAACTAGCTTATAATTTATTTAATATTTTAAGAGAAAAGTGGTCGAAAAAATTAACATTGATTTCTGTAACAGTCACATGCTGTTAATTAAGGAATAGTTATTGAAAAAAAGTATATATTTCCTTTAAGATAAAAGTACTTTAAAGTCCTCTAATTGTCACTATTTTACTTTCTTTTTCGAAAATGTCTTAAAGTCAAAAGGATAAAGGCTTTGAAAGACAGAAAATGTCAGCCACTGTCTGTATATAATATCATTCTGCTAATCGGCAGTGTTTGTCGCGCTAATGGAAATGCAAATAATTACAGGGCCAGTTTCACACCTTCGCCCTTTTAATAATGAGAATCTTGCACTCTCTCCGACACGTCTTTAATCTCACTTTGCACGCGTGGGAATTCCAATGGTTGATAAACGAGTTCAATACTATACGCACATATACCCAAACACATCAACTTCCTTTCAAGAACTTTTACATTTTACTATTTGATTTATGAGCACTTGCAAAATAATATTCAATTAATCATTAATTTTCCCGTAATCGATCCCATGTCGTCATAAAAGGAAAAAACTATCTTATATCTATTCTCATTTTGGAAAAATTTTAATTAACTCAATTTTTTTTTCTTTCAGGAATAATCTCCTACACAGAGTACCTGTTTTTGTTGTCTATTTTAACAAGTAAGTATTTAGTTATTTATTTCCTTTTTTTATGGAATAATATTTTGCGGGGAGATTGAGAAAGGAGGGTAACGAAATTTACACATCGGCTCATATGTGTATATACTCAAAAACATTGGATGTTTTTCTAGATTATTTTATGTAGTTCATAAATCTTTTGGGTCATTTACTCTGTACACGGTGGTTATGGCTCACTTTCTTTTCACCCCTTTTTCAAATTATATAGTTTGCGCGCACACAACAACGAAACGGCTTTTATTTATGAATGTCTGCGTCTAAATTCTAAAGCACTCTGTAACTTTGTGGTCGTATAACTGGCAGTTTCACTAACATGTTCATCAATATTGTTGTGCATACACATGTGTGTGGGCTTATTGAAACTTATCCGAGACGTTATGTATATGCGAAGGAATCACTTCCTTGTATATATCAATTTAACACATTTTCAAAACAAATGTTTTCACTATTTGCAATTTTTATTATTTATTTATTAATATTCACTATTACAGTCGAACCTGTCGGAATGCAACTCTATTTTTAAAATTTTGTTGTATTCGAAAATGTCCAACAAGAATTATTTTCACTTAGTTCCGGAATATTGTAGTAAAAATATTACAAAATTAAATTATAAATAATTTTTTAATGATTATTTACTATAATAAAATTTTAAAAAATCGAGTTGCATTCCGACAGGTTTCACTGTAATAATATATTCTAAAATATAGAATCTATCTTTTAAAATAAAAGCCATTAAATTTTAAAAAGACTAAAATTTTTCCTATTAAAAACAAAATAAAACTAAAAGAAAGAAAACTTCTGCCAATTTTCCTTATATTTTACAATTCTTGAAGTAAAAATTAGAAGAAAACTATAGAATCTATTTCATAAAATAGTAGCCAAGAAACTTTAAAAAGACTAAAATTCTCCCTATATTAAAAATACAATAAATTAAAGAAATGAAAACTTCTGCCAATTTTTGTTATATTTCCGGAGTATATATTTTACAATTCTTGAAGTAAAAATTAGAATAAAACTATAGAATATCTATTTCACAAAATAGAAGCCAAGAAACTTTAAAAAGACTGAAATTCTTCCTATTAAAAACACAATAAACTAAAGGAAAGAAAACTTTTGCCAATATTTGTTATTTTCAGAGTGAATTTTACAATTGTTCAAGTAAAATTTAGAAGAAAAATTATTTCGGAAATAGTAAAAATTCATGACAATCGGAAAAGTTTTACAGAATTTTACTACAACGATTGTTAATGATTCCAGAACTTCAATCAAATTCTCTACAAATTTCAATTATTTCTAATACAATCTTAGAAAATTATAATTATTTCAAAAATTACAATAACTTGTTAATGAAAAATGGCATCATTTTCAAAAGTAATACTCAAATATTTTAAAAAAATGAATGTATCGAACTTTCCACAATTATTTTAAAAAATTAAAAAAAAAATTTTTTTAATTAAATTATTTTTAATAAAAGTTTAGATAAATTTCATTTACTTAAAAAAATTGAAATTTTTTTTAAAAAATTCAATTACGTTTAATAAAATTTTGGGAAATTGAAATTATTTAAAAAAATTTAAATAAAGTTCCTAACAAATTCAATTCTTTTTAATTGAATTTTGAGAAATTGAAATTATTTCAAAATATTTAAATAAAGTTTCTAACAAATTCAATTATTTTTAATTGAATTATAATAAATTTCAATTATTTAAAAAAATTTTATAAAATTTGTAAAAAAGTCAATTATTTTTAATCAAATTTTTGGGAAATTTAAAATATTTCAAAAAATTTAAATAAAGTTCCTAACAAATTCTATTATTTTTAATTGAATTTTAAAGAAATTACAATTATTTCAAAAGATTTAAACAAAATTCTCAACCAATTCGACCATTTTTAATAGAATGTGGAAAATTTCAATTATTTCAAAAAATACGTTAATATAATTTTCTAAAAAATTCAATTATTTCAAAAAATTTCAATTACTACTTTACAAAAAAAAATTTTTTAAATCTAGATTTTCTACATGATCAAAGGAAATTTTAATTTCTAATTTCAAAATTTAATACTCCAGCACTTTAGAAAATATCAGTAAAGACTAAAAATACAATTCTAGGAAAGTTCTAAGCATTCTTAGAATAATGTTGTTCTAAAACTCAAAAATTTTTTTAAAAATTTCTTTTAAGAAAACTGATAAAATTCTCAAAAGACATAATTTTTCTTGTTTCAGAGCCCCAAACTGGTTTTCGCATTGCTTTTAACATGTTCGATACTGACGGAAACGAGAGAGTCGATAAGACTGAATTCCTTGTAGTAAGTTTTATGCACCACAATATATTTATAGTTTAAAAAAAAAAACTTTTTTTTATAGCCTGCCAAACAATTTCTAACCTAAATCATTCACTTTTGCCGCGAATTTTAAGAAAGTTTTTTGAAAAATTTTAAATATATTCAGTTAATAATAAAATACAGTTTAGTATAGAAAATATGTTTTTAAAAAAAAATCTATTGTTTTATCATCTTTTTTCTTCTTTGCGTAATGTACATAATAATTCATTCACAATTCTTGTAAGTGTTAGATATTTTCTTATGAAATTTTCTGCCTAGCAATTATACATTATAATTAAGAATTATGGATAGCAGAAAGACACTTATGGCCAGAAAGAAAATAATTAACAACAAAAATTCTTTCTGCCATTCATTTCTTATTTTTTTGCATGAAAAATACTCAACAGATTCGACGACTACTTGGTGGAAGTTTAAAGGAGCGAGAACTCGATGATCTTACAAAATTTTCAGTGAGTTCCATCACAAAAAACAAATGCAAATAATCACAAATTTTTTTCTATAACATTGTGGGATACATGTTATTTTTTTCAAACTCCCCTCAAAACGCATTAATGTTGCAAATTAAAGAAACAAAACTAAAAAAATGCAAATCTCATCAAATTTAGCTCGCAAGAAACAAAACTCATAATTTGCACTCATGTATATAATTATGCATTCAACAGGTGCTTAAAAAATTTTCTTTCAATTCTTATACTTTCAATAATTGAATTTCTATTTTTCGTTAACAATTTGTTGTTAATGTTTGATTATCAATTAATTATTAATTTTTGATTAACAATTAGTTATTATTTTCTAAATAACAGTTAATTATTAATTTACCTTATTTTTTACCTCATGTAACTTATTTGCTTATTTGTTTTAACTGCGTTTGATTCCTGCTTATGTAAATAACACTGAAAGTAATTATTTTGCTCTATTCTTTCAAAATTGAATTTTTATATTTTTTTTAAATATTTTTTTCATTATTTGTAAAAATAATTAGTCTTGCAAATTTTTTTTTCAATTTTTGAAAATAATTTAATCGTTTTAAAGAATTTTATTAAAAAATTTTGTATTGTTTCTAAGAAATCACAAAAAAAGTAGTAAATATAGTAGATTTTAGTAGATACGAGTACGAAGCCTATACTCTTACACTTTTTTGATGATTATAAGAAATATCTAAACTATCATCAACTAAAACTGTAAGAAGCGCAAACAATCCACCTATAAAAATACAATCTGTATATTACAAACACCGGTTTTGAGAGTACCTTCATAAATTAATAGTTGATTAAAATAGAATTAAAATAGAAAAGTAATCAGTTATTTCATCGACACTATTCTCGCTACTGTAACAAGCTTTCATCCCATCATCACTTTATAATACACTACAATATCTATATGTATATGTGCATAATTGCATATATATACATCCATTATATATATTGAAGAAGATCTTAATTTTATTTGCAATTAGTATTACCAACAAGTTTATAATCGATCAAAGGAGGCAGTCAGTCAATTTTTATTTGTAACGCAATGTTGTGAAATGTTCCCTCTCATATAGATTTCATATTCATTAATTAAAACTGTGTATTAAAGAATAAAAGAAAAAAAAACTACAAAAATAATCAAAAATATGAGAAGAATGAAAATGAAAAAAACCCGTTTATAGATGAAGCTATTTGCCAAGTTAACATTAAATTTTTAAAAGAAATTAATAATTTTATCTCTTCGTCTTCATTGCGATCAAGAAGAAAATTATATTTTATCACTTATGGTAATTGAAAAAGATATTGATTACTGATCGATACGATAATTTCTTTATGAGTTAATTTTCTTCTGATATTCAATGCCACTATCAATATTGACAGGAATTTAATAATTATTACCTTCTTATCATAAACAACACTATATGTTTTATATAACATTCACATTTTTAACTACTATAAAAAATTCTCTGTTTTTTAACATTAAAAAAATGCTTATTTGTAATTCCTTTAATTTTAAATATCTAATTTGCATATCTACTCGTTTCTTAAGGATTAACAAAAAATGCATGAATTGTGCAAAATTGTTGTGATGTATAGAAATTCTTTCACGAATTTTAATATTTTAAATATTGTATTTAGTTACAAAAATTGATCGCTCCAGGCGAAGAGGTTCTGAATAGAAAAGTAACACTTCGTGAAAATCAACATGACTCTCAAAGTGAAAACAACCAATTTTTTGTAAGTTTTCAAGTGATGTGATTTTAGGTTTTTGTCTTTAAGGCCATGTCCAAGATATGTAGCGCCACTAAAATTATTTATATTCAGAAAATTTTTCTCAATCAGTAATTAAAGAGAAAAATATTATTATATCTATAGATTCTTTACGCTTTTTTAAAGCATAAGTATCAATATTATTAGACTCAAATTGTATTCTAACAAAAGTTTATTCTTCCAACGTTAAAAATCTTGGACATGCACTTAATTAAATGTGTACAAAGAATTGTTGTATTCAACCTAACAATTAATGTTACAAACATCTTCACATTAATCTTTTTTTTCAACTTTTATTAGCGCCTAAACCCTAAGGCTATGTTCACAATAGGCTCTTTTTTATGTCCTTATGTTGAACATATAACATAAAAATAGAATAGATTTCTTTGTATTAGTATTGTTATGTTCAACAATGACATAAAAAGATTGTGGACATAGCCTAAAATTAATTGCAATATCATAAAATATTAACCACTATGCAATTTTCCTTAATATAATTTAAAGGTCTCTGAAGTTGGCGTCGACGATGTAAAACTTTTTCTTTCCACAAAACAATTTTCATAAATAACAATAATCGACAAATTAATTTTTTTTCAAACTTCCGAGTTTAAACAATTAAATGAAGATTTTCAATAAAATTCTAGGTAAATGAAAACGGTTTTTGACGCTAATCTCGATGCCAACTTCAGGAACATTAGTTTAATGCTTCTTTGCATTGAATGCGTTTGGGAATTGAAAAATTGTAAAAACTATATTAAAAAGAGTGTTCAATAATGTTTTGAAATAATGCTTCTTTGCCTTAAAAATTTTATTTTGTTTTCAATATTCATCACAATGAATGATATTCATGTATATAAGTCTGTATATATTAATAACCATAGCACTTGTTTTTCAGATGTGATGGTGTTGGATAAATTAGTTTTGCAGTGTGTTGATTAACATAGATAAATGTCTTTTTTATGAATAAATTACTATTGTTTTCAAGAATAATATTTAAAAAGAATTTTTTCTTATGTGTTATTTTACATAGATGGAGAAAATTTTTAGTCACGCGTGGAGAGGGCGTCGAGGTGAAGAAATTAAGCAAGAATTAAATCAATTAACGATGAAAGAATCAACCGTTGAAGAAATTCAAGGACAGTTTATCGACGATGATCAAGTAGGAAAATTATTGAAAATTCGTTATTTATTATTTCTATTATTTTTTAGTATTTCCTATTATATTTTTTTGTTATTTACTTACAATTAGAATTTAAACATCAGATAGTACGAACTTTTTGGACTTTTTCAAACTATTTTCAAAAAAAGACTAAATTTTCCACTAGTTTTAAAAAAATGAGAATATTTCAAATATTGGCACGAAGTAATAATTTATTATTATTTCATTAATAATAATTAATCATTACAGGGTTTGCAACGACGTCACTTGGTCGATACTAGTCTAATGATACATTTCTTCGGTCCAGATGGAAAAAATGAATTAAAATACGAAGGTTTCAGACGCTTTATGGAAAATTTACAACACGAAGTTTTAGAATTAGAATTCCATGAATTTAGTAAAGGTCATGACACAATAACTGAATTAGATTTTGCCAAAATATTGTTAAGATACACTCTTTTGGACGCAGACGAGTAAGTTATTTTTAATTATGTCAGAATAATTAAATAATCATTCATAATAATTAAATCATTATTATCATAATTAACAATAATGTAGAGAAATACTAAACAAAATAAAGAAACAGATATTACTGATGAAAATAACGTTTCTAATTAATAATTTAATTTTTTCCAGATATGATAAATATTTAGACAGACTATTAGATCGAACGAATAATACCAAGGGAATAACTTTCAATGAATTTCAAATATTTTATCAATTTTTAAACAATCTTGATGATTTTGCAATTGCAATGAGAATGTACACGTTAGCAGATCATCCCATCTCTAAAGGTACATTTTATATAACAATACACTGGAAAAAAATTTATTTGATTCAAATAGATTACTTGTCTATTATCAAATAAACATTTACTTGAATCAAATAATTCTTATTTACATCAAATAAACTGTATTTAAATAAAAAATGTCAATATTCGAAGCAAATACCATTTAATTGACATAAATAAAAATTCTTTAATTCAAGTAAATATTTCTTTGAAAACAGTAAACAAGTAATCGATTAGTTGAATCAAGTAATTTTATTTCCAGTGTAAGTATATTTTTTAAAATAATTATTATTATTACTGTATTCAAATTATTGTTATTTAAACAATTACTATTTTAATCTGCAAATTTTCTATTGTAATTTAACAAACCTTTATTTTAATTTATTTGTAAATCAAGATCAAACAGTTCTTTTGGATCTGAATGTAATTTGAAAAAATTACATTTTAATTTATAAACTTTACATTCTAATTTGAAAAATTTACATTCCAATTTAAAAAATTTCTATTTTAATTAAAAAATTATTCTTTTAATTTAAAAAATTACTATTTTCTTATATAATATTTTACTGCCTTCAGATGAATTCTCGAGGGCTGTGAAAATTTGTACGGGTACTCAGTTATCATTACACATTATTGATACAGTATTTGCAATTTTTGACGTCGACGGAGATGGCCAATTATCTTATAAAGAATTTATTGCAATAATGAAGGACCGTCTTCATCGAGGTTTTAAGGTAAGCAAAACAATAATATTTAATAGTAAATTGTTTAAAAAACTAATAAGATTGAAATTTATTGCAATTTTTATAAATTAAATATGTCAAATATTATTATATTATTAATTTAAATATAAATATTAAAAATAAAAATAAATAAATAAGAATATCCTGATTTATGGCAACAATTTATCTCGATCTCAGGCGTGTAGACCTGAAAGCCTACATACAGGCGTTAAACTTTCATCATTACAGTGATGAAAGTATAAAGCCTATAAATTTAACATTTTCAAATCATTCTAATTAATTCTTCTCTTATTATTATCGATTTAAATTGCAACTCAAATATCAGTTCTCAACGATTTTTTTTCAGTCTCAGTCAAAGAGTGAAGGATGGGATGCTTTTAAATTCTGCATAAAACAAGAAATGAAAGCGCCATAAATTTATAACAGTTCTTCCTTCAATTTACCAACTTCCATCAGCGTTATAAATGCAAAAAAAAACCTCTTTATATAAAGTTAACTACTACAAATTTTTGTAAAAACTTAGCAATAATAATTTTAACGAAAACTGACTTAAATATGCATTTAAATAATGTTAACTTAAATCATAAATGAAAAGAGTTTATAAAGTTGTAAGAGAATAAGAAAGAAAAATAATTTATGTGCGTGAAATTGTGTATACCTATTTTAGGAAAATTTATAAAGTTAAAAGTCATTCATGTGATAGACAAAGAACTAAATAATTTTACATTATTAAAATAATATTGAAATGAATAATGAAAAATAATACTGGAGAAAAATTTATTTGATTCAAATAAACGATTACTTGTCTATTATCAAATAAATATTCACTTGAATCAAAAGAATTTTATTTAAATAATCAATGAAATTGTATTTGCTTCAAATACTGAATTTATTGGTTAACAATTCAAATACAATTTATTTGATTTAAATAAAAATTATTTGATTCAAGTAAATATAATTATTTGAAAAAATGGACAAATAATCGGTTATATGAATCAAATAATTTTTTTCAGTGTAATAGAATCACTTGTCTTCGGTGCATTTATTTTAATTAATTATAGAAAAATTTTAGTGCTTGCAGAAATTTTTTTAATTTTTCTCTATATTTAAAATAGGACTTTTAGCAGAGGCCTAAGTTTTCCTACAGTTCCTAAAAATATTCCTCTTAAAGTCATATTTTGAATAGGAATAAAGTGGGTCAATTTCTGCATTTTTGTAATTTACCAAATTTTCAATCTTTTAATTTAAATAATTCAATAAATTTAATTAATTCAATAAATTTAATTAATTCAATAAATTTAATTAATTCAATAAATTTAATTACAATAAATCAGAAAAATTTAGCGCTCAAGTAATTTTAAATCAGGTGTATACTAACACAGTTTTTCTAATTATATCAAATTGAGACAAAAAACGAATCAAAAATGTTGCGAAGCAACATTTTGATTCGTTTTTTGTCTCAATTTGGCATTCTTAAAAAAACTGAAAATTTTAATTTAACTTCCAACTGTATGTAGATATAAGAAATATTTTCCGATTCCGCAACAAATATGTTAATAAACTTCAACGAATATAGATAATTTACTATAATTATATTTATATAAAGAAAACGCACAAGAAATTATTTATTGCGTAAAGTGTGATCGCACAGAATTGTTACCATTTCATATAGTATATATATATATTTCTCTTTCTCTGTTATGAAATATTTACCAAAATGAAAAAAAAATTATTTAATGTGAAATATTTTACTAATAGAGAACAATAATTATATCACTTGTTATATTTTTGTCTTCCTACGCACACATACTTATTACTCAATTTCTCAGTTTAAAACTATTTATACTATTTATAAATATAATTAAAAAAATTGTAAAAAGTTATGTATAAAAAAGCTTGTCAACTGATATTATTTATTGTTAAAAATGTATAAATTACCTTTATAATACTCAAATGATTGTATAATTTATTCACACGATGAAAAATTAAAAATGAAAGAAACGAAAAGAAAATATACTATATATAATATAAAAATGTCTAACGTCACTTTAAAAATTATCAAATACTTTAATTTCACCACTTGACCCGATTTTCACTGCGTTCGTGTTAAATATACATTGTAATTACTGCATTTATGATTATTTAATTCGTTGATTACTGTCTGGTATTTTCATAAAACATGCCGCTAAAAAAAAGAGGAAATCATTTGCTCACTTTGAGATGATAATCGCACTGTTAGAATTCCTTTTTCCTTCTTTCCTTTCTATTTAAGAGACAAAGAAGCCAAATGATAAGAACTTTAAAATTATTGTTAGATTTTTTTGCAATTAAAAATGTAAATCTCGTACCGACTTTAAGGGTAAAAAAAAGTTAATAAAAACTTAAATAATTTGGTTAAATAAATATTCAAATATTTATTTTTTAACAGATTTTATAAATTTTCAATTTCAAATCTGAAATTCAATTATTTCTAAAAATTACAACTGCAATTCTTTTAAAATTCAATTATTTTCAAACATTACAATTGCAATTCTTTCAAAATTCAATTCCTATTTAGAATTTTTAGCTAAATATCTTTTCTAAATCAATTAGTTTTAATTATTTTCCAATTATTCTTTGAGAAGTCAATTATTTAAATACAAAAATCCTATTTTTTTACAATAATTTTAACTGTAATTATTCATGATTTTTTTAAAAACCTTATTAACATGAATTGAAAAATTAAAACTATATTATGAAAAAGTGGGGGACTTATTAACATGAATTTTTGTATATACATAACCAAAAGTACTGAAAGTAATTGATTTTAAAAAGATTGTAATTAAAGAAATTCTTAAAAATAGTTTTTTAAAATTATTTTTAAACATTTTTTTAAAAATAAAATAGATTTCTTAATTATATACATAATTGAAAAATTTCCAAATAATTAAAATTTGGTAAAATTTCCAGAAAATTGAACTAATCAATTTTTTAAAGAATTATTTTAATTCAATTTTTTGAAAATGTTTGATTAACTTCAAAGTTTTAGTAATGCGATTATAAAAAATCAGATTTTTAAAAATATTTTAATGATATTTTTCAAAAAAGATTTTATTGTAATTTTTTAAAAGCTAATTTTAATTAATTTTCATTTTCAAAAATTTTAATTGTAAATTTTTTATTAAAATTTTTAAGAATTCGAATAATTTAAAAACTATGCATTTAAAATCTTTAAAGACTTGAATTTTTAAACATTAGTGTAATTAAAAAAATGGAAAATAATTGAATTTAAAATAATTGTAATGAAAAAAACTTAAAAATCTATTTAAAAAAATATTTTATTCAAAATTTGAATTTTGAAAATTATGAAATTAAAAATATTGCAAAAATAATTGAATTTAAAAAGATTGTACCCATAATGAAAAATTCTTAAGAATTCCTTTTTACAAAATATTTTATTATAATTTTTTGAAGTTAATTTTAAATAATTTTCCTTTTTTCGAGGGAGTATTTACTGGTTGAAAACGTGTACACTCCAATACACTTATCATTTTATGATTTTTCAACATTTTTGAGAATACAATTATTTAAAACTTTGTAATTAAATTCTAAAAAATATTTATAGCAATTTTTATATATGCTAATTTAAATTAATAATCATTTTCAAATTTTTATCTGAAGATTTTTCATTAAAATTTTAGAGATTAAAATTATTTTTCTTTTAAATTTGCAATTAAAATCAGTCAAAAATTTATGATCCCCAAGTTTTGAACGTTCAAATGAACGAAATATTTTTTATTGAAGATATTTTTATAAATTACTAATCACAAAAAATTTAAAAACTGAAATATTTACGGTTAGAAACTCAGTTATTAATTTTTTGGATAGTGACGCAAAATAATTGCAATAAAAATTTAATTTGTAGAAGAAATAAATAAATTTCGTTCATTTGAACGTTCAGAACTTTAGGATCTTAAAAATTTGGATTTTCAGTAATACTTAATTAAAAATATTGAAAATAATTGAATTTATCTAATAAAAAAATTGTAATGAAAAAATCTTGAAAATTACTTTTGCAATAAATATTTTATTTTATTATAGTCTTTATGAAGTGAAATTTCATTTTTCAAATTTTTATTTGAAGATATTTCATTGAAATATTTGAAAATTCAATTACTTTTAAAATATGCAATTAAAATTCTTCAAAATTTGATTTTTTAACAATTTTTCTAAGTACTTTTAAAAACTCAATTATTTCTAATAAAATTTTTTTTTTATTTCAATTATGTACTCAAAAACTATTTTAATCATCTATTTTAAAAACTATTTCGCAATTATTTCAATTTATATATTTTGAAAAATATTTAAAAAATTATTGAAAACTAATCTTTGAATATAGTTATTTTTAGTATATAGTTATTTTTCATTCTATAAAATTTGAAATAAAATGAATTTGAAAATGAATCGAAAAAAGTCGCTTTTTTTGAAAATAGACAAAAAATGGTCGAAAAAGTGAAAATATCCGAAGCGTGAAAATAAAATTCGTCTTTAATTAATTTATACTTGATATTCAGATTACTAATACTTTAAAAAATACATTAGCCAGTAAAAATATTAGTCACTGTAATGAAACATATTTCTACCACATAAAAACTTTAATAGAAACTTTTTTTTACATCGTCATTATTTAGGGTCCCACTTTTCTTAAATAATACAATATATACAATTTCCATAGGCATAATTCCTGATCAGATTATATAATCTGATTAACCAACCGACCAGAATCACGTAGGTATAAAGAAAAATTTCCGCACAATTTTTTGTACGAATCAAAAAAAAAGAAAGCAAAAAAAGTCACTGTAAATACAAGAAAGGTCGAACAAGGGAATGACATAGTAAATAGTATGACACGAAGAATATAGAATTTTATCAAACTTTAGTTGTCGAAACGACGTTAAATACGAACAACCTAATTTTACACATTATAACCAATATTTCAGAGTTTATTTCAAATTTTTAACTATTGACAAAAAGGATAATTTCCGATGCCAAATAAATCCAAGTGAGTGCAAGTGTTTGCGAATATATTACAATTAAAAATTGGATATAAAACAAATTCTTCGAATTTTAGTAATTAAATTAATTTTCCGATATTTAATGTGCCGAAAAAGTTAGGAACTTACGATCAATTTTGTAAATTTTAAGTAAGTAATATATTATTTATTTTTTATTTATATAAACAGGCCAGTGCCCTTTATTAAACTTAATTAAATTTAATTAAAAAATAGCAAAAATGTTAACAAAAAAAAAAATCTCAAAAAAATCATTTTTTCTCAACCATTTTTTTCCACTTCTATTCATTTTATTTAGATTTATTTATTTAGAAGATTTTGATGATGTAATTTGAAAAATCTCATTAGACAATGACTTAACATCCACTTCCTGGTACCAGAAAACGTGGGAAGGATGTCTAAACAAAATTTGGGGGGGAAGACGAAAGCGTATCGGAGCAATGATGTACTAAAAGGTAGGGGGAGTACTCGAGATCGAAATGTTCACCGAACCGGGGTTCAGGGCAAAGTGAGAAACCGGCCCGGTAGCATTGCAAATAGTGAAATAGTAACACGCGTTCGGTCCTTGAAACGCATTATTTTTTTTGCATCACCAGTGCATTATTTTATAAGTGTTATCAATTTTTATATTCAATTTATACACAATTGTGCTTCATGTGTCATGGGGATTATGGGTGTACTCAAATGGTTTCGAAAGTAAGTAATATCATTTAACGACATAAACAAAAATTTTAAAAACATTGCGTGTATATATGAATAGACTTTTATAAGAAATTTTCTCATCCTATTTTATAAACAATAACAATAATCTTTTTACACAAACTTTCATTATGATGAATTTAAATGAAAACATAAATATTGTTCAAGAAACACTTTGTATATTTGATTATTTTTCTAATGTAAATAATTTTTTTTTGTAGTTCATGTGGACTCATTATAGTAAATTATTTTTATATTCAAAATTTAATGACTGGTAATTATTGTTAATTATTAATTCGTTAATCATGTGTCAATTTAAATTAAGTATAGTTTACAAACAAAAAATGTATTTTATACAAATAATGGAGTACTTATCAAAAAAATATTACTATTAGCAAAGGAATATTATTTTTAAGTTAATATTACTGTTTTAATAAATATTATCGTTAAATCAATATTAATGTCAAATAATTATTATTTTCGACTAAATATTTTTTTCGAGTAATTATTATTCTCTTATAGATATTATTTTCAATCAAAAATTACTTTTAAATAAACATTATTTTCGAATAAAAATAATTTTCAAATTAATATTATTATCAAACAAAAATTACTTTAAAATAAACATAAATTTCGATTTCGAATAAATATTATTTTCAAATAAACAATAATTTCGATTTCGAGTGAATATTACTTTCAAAAAAAAATATTTTTACTAAAGTTTTGAATATTCAATTGAAGGATGATATTTTTATTACTTTTTTTAATTTGAATTTTATTTACAAAATATTGTCTTTTATAATTAAAAATACAACTTTTAACTTAATAATTACTCAATAACATTATTTTTTATTTCAGTCGAGTAATTTTCAAAAATAATGGAGTACAAAAAAATATTTCATTCAAAACTTTTGAAAAATAGAAAATATTATTTTCAAATAAATATTTACTTGTAATAAATACAGAAATTTTTGGCTCGAGTAGAGTTTATTTAATTTAAATAGCAATTATTTGCTAAGTAAACATTTAATAATTTCAAGCAAATTATTTGATAATAAATTTTATTTTATGCCAAGTAATCAATTATTTGATTAAAATATTAATTTTCTTAAAAGGTTTGCAAAATTATATTGAAATAATTTGTCAATCAATTAAAATACTAAAAAGAATCTACTAAAATAATGCGTGAATGAATAAAAGTAAAAAAAAAATTTACCGCAAAATTGGGAAATTTTCGTTAATCAAACGTGACAATAATAACTTTAAACGTTTTATCAAATGGTTTATCTATATAATCTTGAAATACAAGATATCAGACTTCTTATTGCAGATGAAGGTCATTTTTTTAAAACTTCAGCATTTGTTATAAATATTTTCGTCATTATAGTGCTTCTAAAAAATAACTCCATTGAAATAATTAAAAAAAAAAGAAATTAAAAGTATAAATTTAAAAAACAATTACACTGAAAAAAATATATTTGCTTAAAATAACCGATTACTTAACTGTTATTAAGTAAACATTTACTTGAATCAAATAAACATTTTCTTCATTGAAATAAATATTTACTTGAATCAAAAATATATTTATTTAAATAAAATAATTTTTATTTCAATCAAATAAATTGTATTTGAACCAATAAATTCAGTAATTGAAGCAAATACCATTTAATTGACTCAAATAAAAATTATTCGATTCAAGTAAATATTTACTTGGTAATAGAAAAATAATCGTTTATTTAAATCATAAACTTTTTGTCAGCGTAAAAAATAAATTTCCGAAAATAATTTATTTGTCATGTATAATTAAAGTTGACCTGGAAAAAATTTTCTCTTTTTCTCAAAGTTACATTAACACTCGCCCTGATTTTCTTTCGCGAACAATTTTCTTTCAATCTTGTACAATTTTCCACAAATTTATCATTTTTTTCCCACTATTTTTTTAAACATATATATACTTTTTACACTAAACTTTAAATTTAAACAAATTTAGAGTTTCTCTCGAAAATAAATATGTTTAAAAATAAAAACCTAATCCGCAAAAGGTTCGTCCCTGTTAAACTTTACAGTGGATTAGAAAATTTTTGGGAAAAGACAACCATTATTCGGGTTTGAGAGGAGTAACGATTTGCTCATAAAACTTTTTGCATTTACCTGCCAGACTGGGAAGAGGTAAATACCTCTATTTAGTTTTAGTGCATAAGAATATTAGAGGGAAAACTGACCATTATTGCTGAGATGAACCATTCTCATTGTCCTCGACTCTAATCTTATCCAATTCATCTGAGTCAGGTATGACAATTCCAGTAATACAAAAAATATTTCAAAATTTAAAAGCAGTTGTCGCCTCTAAGACTTGTTTATTTCTTCATTATTATATTCAATTTTCATATTCTAGACTCAGACTCTTTAGAATGTGAAAATTAAAAATTTTTAAATAAAATCTCCAACTGTGAAACTCGTACAATACTCAGAAGACAATAATAATAATAATAATATTAAAATTATTTCATTAAATTATACTGAAAAAAATTTATTTGATTCAAATAACAAATAAACATAAATGAAACTAAATTATAAAAAATTATTTATCTTTCTCAAATAAATATTTCCTTGAATCAAATAATTTTTATTTAAGTCAATTAAATAGTATTTAATTTAAACAATTACTTGATTCAAGTAAATATATATTTGACAATAGAAAAATAATTGTTTGAACCAATTTTATTTTATTTTATTTTAATTTGATTATTTAAAAAATTCACATCTTTTATGAGCAACAATTGAAAAAAATATTTTTCTTGTCAAAAACAATAAAAAGTTTTGTTTACACTTTTTTCTGCTTCAAATTATTGATGAAAAAATTATGCAAAACCTTTTTTCTTATGCAAAAATCTAGAAAAATGTAAATAGAAAAATATTTTTCTTCAAAATCTTTATGATTATGAACATTGTGAACTTGATCAACGTTTACTTGAATCAAACAAATTTTTCTTCACTGTATAAACAAAAAACCTTATTCATTTCAAAATTATTTATTGTACAAAAATTAAAAAAAAAATTAGTTCTAGATTAGATAATAAAAAAAACACTTGTTGAGTAAAAGTCTGTAATAGTTGTTTTTATCCGCCAAATTGGTAAACAATATTACCTTAAATTTCCTTTTATTTTCTTTATTATATATTGATCTTGATAAATTATTTAACATTTTTTCTTATATATATGATTACATAAAAGTATGTCAAAACGTTTAAAACTGAATATTAGAATTTATACACAGATGTGCAAAATCATTAGTATCATTTGAATAAATGAAAGTGCATGACTCGGTAGAATTTTAATAGATTAGAAATTGGGACAATTTTCAATGTTCCCTATACTGTATACATATAATCTCAACTATAGAAAATCAAAGAATTTTTCTTTTCTTTTTAAATGACCGTTTTGATAATTTTGACAAGTAAATTATTTGAAGAAAATTTATTTTCAATTTTCTGGGTCATTTCTATTATTTATATACTTATAGATGTCATCAGTAAATAACTAAAATGCTTTTAAAGAACTTCATTAGGATTTTAATGATATACATCTTAATTAATATATAATCATCATAGCAGTTTTTGAGTTTAAAAAATGATTTTTTAACTATAATAGTATTTTAGAGCTTTTTTCTGAATATTATTTTCACAAAGTTAATTTACGACTTTCTTAAATATACGTTATTTTTACGAGTCAATTACAAGAACAATTAAAAAATAAAAGTACAAAAAATAATCAATATACTTAAATATATTTGGGAATCCAAATATTGTTCGGTCAAATTTTGGTTTTAATTTTATTCAGAACGTTACTGACAATTTTCAAAAATTTCTGAATAAATACATTTATATTATTCTTTTTGTATGCTTCCTTTTTTTATTTTTATTTTTTTATCATCTTTTTTTAATTCTTTTCATAGTTACTTTTTTTTGACGTTATTATGTAAAGGAAAATGTAAATTTAAAGCGAAATTTGCTATTTCGAATGTAAATTTTCGTTTTTAATTTTAAAAAAAGGAGCGAACTAAATTTCGAAAAGAAACATTTCTTTAATATTTAAATGAGGTTAAAAAAGAAGAGTTTTAGTTTCCGTTATACAGTGTCACTGTTTCCCAGACATCTGTCGTCAAGACCGGAACAATGAAAAATAAAAAATAAAATAAAGGAATTCATGAGAATTTGGCACAAAATTAATTAGCGGAAACTAATCTTGGTGAAAGTGCAACAATAAAAGAATATGTTCATGAATTTTTTTAAAATCTATCAATGTAATTAATAATTAATAAAGTCGCAACTACAAAAACAGTGCGATTAATTTTTCAAATTTATTTGATAATTTATTTTATTAATTCTTTTTTAATTTATTAAATTTACAATTCTTTTTATTTATTATTATTTATTATTTCATCAAAAAAAAATATTCTTTTAGGGGAGGGTTCACCAATATTTTTAACTATTATATCAAGAAAATAATTTAAATATTTCATACAATTGATTTGATGGTAATTTTTTGCGAGAGGAATTCAATGACCTTAAAATAAAATCGATCAGAAAATATTTTATTTTTATTTAAAGACGGGGACTCCCAAAAATTAAGAAAGAATACTATTTTTATTCAATTTATTGTTTTATTTGAATTTGTTTATTTTTCTAACAAATTCAAATTATTTTATCCACAATTTTTTTCCATTCATGTAATTTTTATATAAAAGAAAATTATAATCCTTAATGAGTTAGATAAATAAACAAATATTTTTTAAGAAAATAAAATGGAATAACAATGGTATTTTTTGGCTTATTCAACCCAAAAATAATTTTTTTTCTAAAAAAATGCTTCAAAAATAGTACAAATAAATTTTTTTGTGAACACAAAAATATTTTCTACAAAATCACTGATGGATTTCAAAATCTACCAATTTTTAGAAAGAAAAAAAATTTTAAAAGTGCGAAACATTTTCTGACGGATTTTTTTTCACCATTGAATTTCTCTCGCAAAAAATAACTTAACAAAACAATATTATGGAATATTTAAATTATTTTCTTGATATAGTTGAAAATATCTGTAAACTTTCCTCTTAATTAAATTATTTTTAAGTTTTTGTTGAAAATTCAAGAAAAAAATTAAAATATTAATTTTTAATAATTATCTAAATTATATTATGTTAATAATTGTTATTTTTTAATAATGTTTTTAATATATATGCATTTAATAATGAAAAAATAATTTTCATGTTATTTATAATATTATTTTTTTATTATTTACTATTATTATTCTTCCTGCTAATTTTTAAATTTAATTTACTACTTATTTATATTATTTTTTTAACATTGGTAAAGTTTACAACGTTTATAATCAACGATTTAGAAGGAAAAAATATTTTTCTATTTAAATTTTTATATATTTTTGAATAAAAAATGTTTTGCATAAATTTTTGATGAATACTTCGAAAAAAAGAATTTGAATATTAAATATTATTTATTATTATTATTATTATATTATTATTAAATATTAAACAATACAATTTATTATATTTAAAAAAAAATTTTTTTCTTTCAATTGTTGATCATAAACGTTGTGAACTCCACCCAAGTTTTTTTTATTATACACAGAAGTCTATTTAAAGTAAATATAATAATAAAAGAAATAATAAGAAAATAATATAATTAAAATGATATTAATCTAAACCATCAACAGTTGATTGTTAACATTTGACCCTTTAATTTTGATTTTAAAAGAACTTTTCAATAAATAATTTGATCACTGACGGAATACTAGTAATTGAAAACAATGATATTGGTAAAGTTGTGTAAATGAGAAGATTCAACTCGAATAAATAAGTATCGAGATAGATGAAATGCATGAATGAGTCGACATCTTATTTCTTTTTTTTCTCTTTCTTTAACGCTTTTAATTACTGTCTGTACTCATTGGAACGGTTCAAAGCATCGTCATGCTTGGGAATTTTTTTTCTAAAAACTATTATATACACCCGATTCAATGTAAACTAAATCATTAGTTCATCATTAGTTTATTCATATAGTATTAATCGTAATTATTCTCTTCAGTTGATCTTTTATTGTATTATTAAACGACTTCTACTTGAATTTTAAATTTTGAGACATTCACAATTTCTTATATTCATCAATATTTATTAAAAAGAAAAAAAAGATTGCTAAATCGAATCCTAGGCAAAGATCTTTCTCCGAAACAATAGTTCATGACACTGAATATCATTATACGCTTTCTAAGTTTGCTAATTAAAATTTACGTTACGAGAAGCATCAATGAGAAAACTTCCTTCGCCTTCCGATTTGAGAATAATTACGCTCTTAAAAATCAAACTTTTCAAAATTAGAATAAAAATGATGCAAGGAATCAGAGGAGATAAAATCCGTTACAAAATTGTTACTTGTAAAGAAATTTATATAACATTTCTTCTTAATGAACTGTTCGTTAATGTCGATTAAATAATAATTAACAAAAAAAAAATTCAATCGATTAAAAAAATATCTATTATTTTTAAAAAATTGAATAAAATAAATATTATTTTTAATAATTAGTTTTTAATTATTTAAAAAACGGTAAATGAATTTCAATTTGTGTACCTAAAAAAACGTTCGAAGAAAAAAAATAAATACTGATAAACGAGACACATTTTTTGTAGCGAGGGGAAAAAAAAGGAATTAAAAACTTTAAAGTACTATATAAACGAATTTGTTATGGAGGATATGATTTTTGAATTGTATGAAAACAATAGGTGCGTGCACAGGTTTACGCTTGAAATATTACACCTGCTGTGATATCCGGATAATTTTGTAACCATCTAATTCAAGGTTCAAAGAGATAATAGAAAAATGTTGATAGTATATGATTAAAAATTGAGAAATACGAATTTCATTTTCAAAAGAAAGTTTGAGAATTTACTTTCAATTTCAAATCTTGATTGAGCTTTATACACTTTGCAATGAATAATTTTCTAAATTTCGAAAAATGCGTATAAAGTGACGTAAAACAATTTTTTTCTGTAATTTCTTTTTCACCTTTTTAAAAATATTTACTAATTTCTAAGAAATAAAATTGATAGTTTAATAGCAAGAGTAATTAATTTCATTAAAGGAAATTTTAGTAATTAATTTAATTAATAAAAATTTGCAATAAGAGTACTTTATACAGATTTAAAAAAAAAATTTTTAACTTTAATTTCAGGGAAGGTAACAGAGATCAACAGAGATGGAGTATGTCACCAGAACTTAGTCGTCTGAATAAGTAAGTAAACAAAATTATTCGATTTTTAATAGATTAAGAGAGAATTTTTCTGAAAACTAATCAGCAAACGCCAAAAAAATATCGAGAAAGGTTTTTGGAAAATATGAAGAACATCGACTTTTAATTAATAAAATTCGTACCTTTTCGAAAAAATCCGTCCGTCATCTATTTATTTTTAAATTGCCGATTATTAAAAAAAATAATTTCACTTGACAATAATACACCAAACACCCAAAAACACTGATGAAAATAAAAAAATGTGATCTCCATAACCTAAAAATCACATTATTTTCTCATAATTAAGAAATCTTTGCTTTAAAGTTCCAATAGAATTTATATTATTCACAAAATTAATTATTATTATAAAGGGAATAATATTTTTAAACACGATGCAAGAAAACACTCTACTTCCCAAGGAGTCACTTGTTTTGAACGGTTTGTTTACCACCTCACATACCCTGTGTCTCCTTTATCCAGACCGATTCGAATATTTTTTTACAAATGCAATTTTGAGAATATTTCATTATCATAAATAACCCGATTGAATAAAAAATGGGAATCATTATATCACTTATAACGAAAACGTAATAAATTGTTCAAGTTAATAAAAACATGAAAATTTTTTCAGCTAGTTATGAATAGACACAAAAAATAATAATTTTCAATAATATTCTAAAAAAAATAATAAAATTAAAATATACTTATGAATTTACCTCCTTGTTGAAGTTGAAATCCATTGCAATTGATGTTGAAGAATAATCCAATATGTATGGCAATAATTCACTTTCACATTTACACTCACGTATTTCTAATTTAAAACACTCGCGACGATTATTAAAATAATTTACTTTACAAAAAATACTTCTTTTTTAATAAATTTCCCTTTAAACTTTACTTTATTCGCTGAATTACTCCGTTTTTCCCGCAATTTCCGATCATTGACCTTTGCGCGAAAAATCAAGATGGCCGCCAACAAAGGGGAAGCTGGAGGGGGAAATCGACCCAAATAACCTAACAATTATTTAACCCGTTTTATCGAAATTACTCAAAAAAAATGCAAATACGACTAAATTAAGTGATTCCGGTCTCGAATTTCATATACCCGACTAACCGAAAAGCGAAAAAAATGCAAAATTTGACAAAAAGTATATTCTCAAGACCGTGCCGTATTATTCATAATTAACGATAAAATCTTCCGAAAAACCGTATTTCTATTATCACAAATGTTTACCCGCACGTTAATAAGTTGAATCGACGTGATTTTAATATTCGAAATCGAAAGATTGTTGAAAAATCAAGAAAAATTCACGGAGCGATACCGACAAAGCCCAGCAACTTGTGCAAAACAAAATGGCAGCCAATGCATTGTGGGCAATTACAAAATGTCGGCAATGCATATAGAAACTATTTTTCACGATTTGACATCATTTTGTTGAATAAATGCGCGTTATATGAATAAAATGAAATAAAAAACATGTTTAACGAAAATTTTCTGACTGAATCTAGTAAACTAAACGGTAAAAATAGAAAAAATTGATAAAAAATAACGTGTGTGACTATACACTGTTTTTATTAATTACGATCAAAATAGTAAAAAAAATACATCTTTCTATTATCCTAATTTATTCCGCGCACGTTTATTAGTCGGATTCTAGTGGTTTTAACTTACTAAAAACGTCTATTAAAAAATTACTGCAAAATTTTTACGGAGCGACACTGACAAAGGCCTGGGAACATTGTGAAAACAAAATGGCTGCCTTTGGCAGATAAAAATCAATAAACTGTTGTTGAAATCAATGAATTGGGAATTATATACGAAAAAGTGTCTAAATTATTGAGAATAAAAGTTAATTAGAGTGATTTAAGAAGCTGTACAATGGAATATTATCCTTACGATTGATATTAAGTAGTAAAAAAATGAAAAATTCTAATGGAAGGTAAATTTAATGTAAAATTGTCACTTTTTGAACAAACTGTCAATTTTCAACAAACCTTTTAAATAATTGTAATGTTTGACGTTGGAATAATCAAAATTGATGTCGCGTATATTTATAAATATTGTGACAATAATTTTGACTTATTAAAACAAATTAAAAAATTATTTTTCAGGAATTTTGGCGGATATGTTACGTCCACAAAAACAACAAACATCAACAAATTGCTACTTAATTCTTACATGACAGTGTAGATGGCATTTCTTTCTATTTCTTTATATTTTCGATATTTTCTAAATGTTTAAATAATTAATTAATATTATTTCATACAATTAATGCTATTAATTATTAAATTAAATTTTAATTAACGGATTAATGGATTTAATTTCATATAAATTCTAATTAAATTCAATCAGAGTTAAATTTATTTTTGATTTTTATTTTCTTTCAAGTGAAACCAATTTTGTGTTTATAAAATTATAATTTTTTTTTAATAATAAATAAATTAATAATAATTATGAATTAATTAAGAAGGGAATTTTTTTCGAATGCTAAAAATAGATTTTTTTGAATTTCAGCGAAGCGTCACGTATCAAGGCAATAAGGGCATTTATGGATCGACGAAAGAATGAAAATGAGACAAATAATTATTTGTTGATTTCCAATCCAGACAAGGATTTTAATTACAAAACGTTTGTCAAAAAAATTAATGAGAGCAAAAATGTTAAGGATATAAATTCGGTAATTCCTGGTGTACCGCATGTGAAATTTTCGGATTTTTTTGAAGTCGGATGGGTCGCAGGAACGGAGGATCGTTATCTCGAATATGTCTATGCCGAATGGGATAATACAAAAGTTTCCATAAAAAAACACACGCATCCTGAATGTGAAAAGGCCATTAAAGCCGATCTGGCAGTTCTTACGTTAGTAGAAAAAAAATACTATTCAGGGTTGCCATAAAAATTTAATTTTGTTTTTCCCTGATTTGCAGAAAAAATTTTGCTTTTTTCCCTGACTCTAAAGACTATTCTGATTCAATCTAAAAATGATTAGATACTCAAAAAAAGGTTCTATTACATTTATTTACAAATTTCAATTCAGTTATATCATAATTTTAAAAAATTTTGATTAGGCTTTTTGAAAAAAATTTAGTTCCATAGAATTTTTAATTAAAAGTATGAAAAATTCAAGTTTTCGAAAATTTTAATTTGAAACCTTTACAAAATTCGATTATTTCTAAAAATGACAATTATTAGTAACTTCTCCAAAATTCAATAAATTATTATCTAAAATTTTAACAGAAATTAATTTTTAAATAAATTTTTATTAGAAAATTCTACGAGAATTCAATTATTTAAATACAAACATAGATAATTGAATAATTGAATTCTTTCGACAAATTTTAATAACGTTTTAAGAATAATTATTACATTTTTCGAGGAATTTGATTAAAATTTGATTAAAAATACTTAAAATTCTGCAATGAGTTTTATTATTTATGAAAATAATTGAATTATTGCGAAGAATTTTTTAAAAAAAAAATTTTTAAATAATTAAATTCTTTCGAAAATAATTGAATTCTTTCTAACAACTTTATAAAAATTTTTGAAAATAATTATACATTTAAGAAGAATTTTATTAAAATTCTATAAAAAATAATAGAATAATCACCAAAAATTTTATTAAAATTTTTGAAAATAATTGAATTTCTGCCAAGAATTTTGTTATTTATGAAAATAATTGAATTCTTAACAACAATTTTATTGAAATTTTCAAAAAGAATTGAATATCTAAAAAGAATTTAAATAAAATTCTATAAAAAAGAATTGAATTTCTAAGAATTATTTTACTAAACTTATGTCGAAAATAATTAAATTTTTGCCCAGAATTTTATTAAAATTCTGTCGAAAATAATTGAATTCCTGTAAAATTTTCATTATTTATGATAATAATTCAATGTTTGCGTAGAATTTTATCAATATTTTTTTAAATAATTAAATTTTCTTTGGGAAATTTTATTAAAATAAAATATTTAAAATGATTGAATTACGAAAAATTTTTGCAAATAATTAAAATTTCGCAATGAATTTTATTACAAATTTTTAAAATAATTGAATTTTATTACGTTTAAAATAATTGAATTTTTGTGATGAGTATTGTTATTTATGGCAAATTCTATTTTAAATAATTGAATTCTTGTGAAATTTTTATTGTTTTTGAAAATAATTGTATGTTCCTGTAGAATATTATCAAAATTTTTATTTAATAATTAAATTCTTTTAGGAAATTTTATTAAAATAGAATATTGAAAATTATTGAATTAAGAAAATTGTTTGAAAATAATTGAAATTTTGCCAAGAATTTTATTAAAATTTTTGAAAGTAATTGAATTTCGAACAAGAATTTTATTATTTATGAAGAGAATTGAAATTTTGACAAGAATTTTTTTTAAATTGTTGAACATAATTGAATTTCTACGTAGAATTTTATTATTTATAACGATAATTGAAATCTTGGGAAGAATTTTATTCAAATTTTTGAAAATAATTGAATTCTTAAAAAGAATTGGATTATTTATGAAAGTAATTAAATTTTTTTATAAATATTGTTACTTATGAAAATAATTGAATTTTACAATGAATTTTATAAAAATTCCTGAATATAATTATTGAATTTTGACGAAAAATTTTGCTATTTAGAAAGATAATTAAAATGTTGACGAGAATTTTTTTTAAAATTTTTGCAAATAATTTCATAGTTTATGAGTCAAACAAAAAGACACAAAAATTCAGAATTTTCTTATAAATTCTAAACATTAAATTTTTCCAGTACTTTTAATGAAAATCCCTGACTTTTTTCTGATTTCCCTGACCAATTATACTTTCCCCTACTTTCCCTTGAATTCCCTGATTTCCATGACCTGTGGCAACCCTGCTATTTTTAATTTTTAATTTTTAATTTTTTTTATTAAAATCGAATACTATTTTTAATATAATTATATTTAATTTAATTTTTCAATATTCACAGGGAAATTCGTCATCCTAACGTCGTTCTTCTGATAGCAACCTCATTTGTCGAAGGCCATGGCCTAGTGTCAATTTTCGAGTCTTTGAATTGTACTATTTACAATTATATTCATGAAAAAGAAGAACGTGTTTCCGTTCAGGAAACTGTCAGATGCATTCGCAAACTCGCTGAGGCTCTTGGATACGCTCACATGAGAGGATATATTCACGGTGCTATAAGTTCGCACTGTGTTTTTCTAACATCAGGAATCATTAAATTAGGCGGATGGGAATTAGCAACGAAAAAAAATGAGGTGAAATAATCATTTATTTTTCATTTCTTTTGTCGAGAGTGACTGGAACTTTTGTTTGAAAACTAACTGGGGAAAAAGTTTCCAAGTCTTGACTTCATATTTTAAAATTAACGATCTGGATAAGTAAACGAAGAATTAATTTGAAGATCGTTAAATTTTGTCTACTTTTGGAAATTAAAGAGTTCTAATTTATTTCTAATCGCTATTTAAAACTCGTTAGTGAAGTTTAAAGTGTCATTAATGAGATTTATTAACAGAAAGCTGATTGTAATAAAACTGATTTCAATGAAGATTTCAAATGAAATGAAATCAGTTTTATTTAACTTTGCAATTTTTATTTAACACATGGAATACGGGATTGAAATAGAGATTTATTTTTATACATTCGAATTTTATAAATTTTACACTCCTTGCGGAATAACATTCCAGAGTATACAGGAAATTAGAGATATTGTGCATTATTGTCAGCAAAGTATTCAATTCTGAATAATAGAATCGTTTTAACAAAGTCAACAATACAGTTTTTTTTATCATGGGTGCGGATCCCTTCAGGCGCAACCAAGTTGACGATTCATTAGCGATACTCTACATAATTTCATTTATGTTGAAAAAACACATTCACCTTTTCCGCCCTCATACAATTCATTATGTTTCACTTTTGCATGTTTTCAATAAAATACCGTAACATTTCTTTTTGAATTGCAAATTTTTTTATTTCATAAATGAAAATTAATTTCCATTTCCTTGGAGAATTTTTATTTTTTTAATTTAATTTTTATTTATCATGTATTTATTTTCCAGCCAAAAGAAGAGCAGGAATTTGAAAATCCCCTCAGAGCTGAAATTTTCAGATGGCAAGCGCCGGAATTATTTTATGATCAAACACCAACAGAAGCCACCGATATTTATGGACTTTCTCTGTTAATATGGGAAATGACAACAAGTGAGTAACTATTTATTTTGAAAAATTTTCTCACAACTTCTCTTTTGAAATTTATTTTCTAAATTGTGCAAAAATTATAATAGTGCAATTACCATGGAATGGATTGATAAAGGCAGACATCGAGAAACAATATGTACACTGGAAGCAAGGAATTCCTATAGATCTCTACAATTTTCCATCATTGCTCAGCAAATTATTGGAGACTGGACTTGAAATCGACGTTGCAAAGAGAACAATATCCATGAATCATATGTACAAAATGTTACAGAGACTCGAGGTAAATTCAATTAAATTCAATCAATACAAAATTAATACAGGGATCACGGTGACTTTTTCCGAAAAAAATACGCGAAAGGAGAATTATTTTCTAAAAATAGGTGACAAGAAAGAGATAAAAAAATTATAATTATAATTATTATAATTCTAAATGCAATTAACTAATTGATTACTATTATTATTTTTATTTTCAAACGTTTAAATAAAATTCAATTCAATTATTTGCTGAAAATAAAAAATTCTTCTAAGAAATTCAATTATTTTCAAAAAATTTAATAAAATTCTTGGCTAGAATTCAATTATCCTCATAAGTAATAAAATTCTTCTCAAGAATTCAATTATCTTTATAAAAATAATAAAATTCTTGTTAAAAATTCAATTATTTCCATAAATAATAAAATTTTTATAGGAATTCAATTGTTTATAACACAATTTTCATAAAATTTTCAGCAAGAATTCAATTATCTTAATAAAAAATTAAATTCTCGCCAGGCATTCAATTATTTTTTTAAATTTGAATAAAAATCTTCCCAAGAAAACAATTATTTTCGTAAATTATTAAATTCTTTGCAAAACTTTAATTATTTTTAAAAATTTGAATAAAATTCTTCCCAAGACTTCAATTATCTTTATAAATAATAAAATTCTCGCCAGGAATTCAATTATTCTCAAAAATTTTAATTAAATTCTCGTCAAAATTTCAATTATCTTTTAAAAATAATAAAATTCTTGTCAAAAATTCAATTATTTTTAAAAATTTGAATAAAATGTTTTCCAAGAAATCAATTATTTTCGTAAATAATTAAATTCTTTGCAGAACTTTAATTATTTTTAAAAATTAAAATAAAATTCTTCCCAAGAATTCAATTATCTTTATAAATAATAAAATTCTCGCCAGGAATTCAATTATTTTCAAAAATGTTAATAAAATTCTCGTCAAAATTTCAATTATCTTAAAAAAATAATATAATTCTTGTCAAAAATTCAATTATTTTTAAAAATTTGAATAAAATTCTTCCCAAGAAATCAATCATTTTCGTAAATAATTAAATTCTTCGCAAAACTTTAATTATTTTTAAAAATTTGAATAAAATTCTTCCCAAAAATTCAATTATTTTCATAAATAATTAAATTCTTCATAGGAATTTAATTATTTTTAACACAATTTTAATAAAATTTTTGATAAAATTTAATTATTTTTGTAAATAAAAAAATTTTTGTAAAAATTGTTCCTAAACTATAACTAAAAAATACAAAAATTGAAGTTTTAATATTTAAAATTTATATTGTTTAATGTTTGGAAAAATTTATATTTAAATAAACTTAATTTGAGTTTAATTAAAGATAAGATAATTTATAGAATTCAAAAGATTAAAATTTTTGTCGATTTTAATTCAGTGCCAATTAAGATTTTAATCGATGAAAGTTGAAAAAATTTATAAGTTTTATTTATTGAAGAAAAAATTAATTAAAAATCTTTAAAGTCTAGTTTTGATTGAAAATATTATAAAAAGTTTACAAAATAGGTAAAATATTTAAAAATGAACAAAATAAGTGAAATAGTTATTAAAATTAAAAATAGGTGCAAAGGTGATCAGTCTGTGATCCCTATGTATATAATAGAAAATCATTGTAAATTTAATCGAAAAGCGAAAAATATTCTTCTTCATTAATTTCTTCCTTTAAATTTACAGTTACAGTATGAATCGGAAGCTCCAATTTATGCAGATCAATTGGCAATGAATAATAATACACCAAATACAAAAACACTAAATCTACCACTTGGCACCGCACCACCAGTAAAAAAATGTTCATCCTCGAGATCATCAACTTCATCCGACAATTGGAAATCAATAACAAAACCATCTGCCATTGCCGCTCAAAACAATCTCAACAAGAAATTAAGATCAAGTTCAAAACGAAATTCAGTTATTAATGAAAGTGAGAAAATTGAGGAAGCCGTGGACAATGATTCCGTTTATAATATTAAAAAATGTACAGATTTATTTTTACAAATGGAGAGATTACATACTTGTATTGAGACACAAGAGGATCTATGGGTGTTGTATAATTATTATGATCAACAAAAGGAAAATTCTGATATTCAAAGTTCAATTCCAAGTATTATTAATGAATCCGAAAAGAGTAATTTCACAAGTGAAGAACGTATTTCCAGTATTATTTATGGTTCAACATCGTCGAGAACGATAGAATCGTCTGATGACGATTTTAATGAGACTCGAAATGATATTAAAAAACTAAAAGAATCTTTGGCTAGTAAACGAGAGCGTTTCTTTTACGGTGATGATTGTCAGCGATCCATTTCTAACACTAGTAAGTATATTGTTTCAAGTTTACGAATTTTTATTAATTCTATTTTTTATAAAAATAAATATTACATAAATTATTCTTCGAAGAAAGATACCTTAAAATCATTTGTTTCTAAGGTTCTTTTTTTCAAAGAGTGTCACTTCTATTTTTCAATAATAATTAAAACATTTTTTCTTTTTAGGTACAGAGAACAAAATTCCAGCTTACAATAATGTCCAGGGTAAAAGTTATGAGCCACATAAGCCGGCTAGTCATAAAACAAGTTTCGAACCAAAATTACATAAAACTTCACAACCAGAATTAATTTTGACTAAACCGATTAAAGAAAAAGAGCAAACAGTGAGTTTGAATTACATTACAAATTTTGTTAGAATAATTTACTAAAAATAAGTTAATAACATAAAAAAATGATAGTTTAAATAAGTGAAATGAAAATATTTAAATAAGTAAAATGAAATTTTAAGTAATAATAATAATTTACAATTGCAGTTCGAACACTCTTGTATTTCATCGATAATTAAGGATGCTGTCATTAATCCACAACTCGTGAATGCTAATCACGATAATGTATTTGAATCATCACTTTGGAGAAAGGAAAAAATGATAGTCATGTCAAAAATGAGGAAAAGCTTTACTGATGACACGGTTTGTTGCTTAAACTATTTTTGTTTTCCATTAATTACTTTGGACGTTTCAAACATTATTTTATAAAAAAAAAAATAATATTTCAGGTCACCTATTCTCAAGATCTGAAACGTGAAATCTCGCAAAACGATGAAAGAAACTTGAAATCAATGGAAAATGATACTTTTAATATGAACTCGCTTATTATTGACAATGGTATGTATATATTTACTTTTTATTTAGTATTTGATGTTGAAGACAACAGTCTGACTTTTCGTTTTATAGATCAAAATATTGACTTATTAAATGAAAATTTACTGTTGTCTTTAACACTATACCAAATAAATTACTCAAATAAGTCGAATAGAAAACTACAGGGTTTGCACTCGTTAACCCGTTGCCTGTTTGCGACCCAACGTTGGGTCGTGAAAAAAGATGGCCCAGACTGTTTGCGACCCAACGTTGGGTCGTGAAAGTTTTAGCAAAAAATAGAAATTTGTTATTTAAATTATAAAATAAATTCTTTTATATCATTATTCACATACTATAGGTATCAATGATACTAGAAAAAGTAATAAATAAATAATTGTTTATTATTTTTAAGTAATATAACAATTTAAAAGATTTTGATGGACATTTTGGGGCACTAAAATGAATATTTTTCCAAACAGTCAAGGGGTTAATTAATTTTAAAAAAGTACTATCGAATCGAATTTTTGTAAAATACAATTATTTTACAAATTTTCAGTTAGAATTTTAAAAAAATATGATTATAATATTAATATTATTTAAAAATAATTTTTAAAATTCCTGCGAAAAATTTTATAAAAGTTTTTGGAAATAATTGAATTCTTGGGAAGAATTTAAATAAAATTTTTGTAAATAATTGAATTATATTCTTGACAAGAAATTTAATCAAATTTTTGTCAGTTATATTGAATTTCTAAGAATTTTATTATTTATAAAGATAATTAAATTTTATCAAGAATTTTATTAAAATTTTGTTAAAAATAATTGAATTTCTATGAAGAATTTTATTCTTTATGAAAATAATTGAATTTTTGTCAAGAATATCATTAAAATTTGTGAAAATTGAATTTCTGAGAAAAATTTCATTATTTATAAAGATAATTGAATCTTGTCAAGAATTTTATTCAAATTTTTGAAAATAATTGAATTCCTCCCCAGATATTTTATATTTATGAAAATAATTAAATTCTTATAAACAAATTTTTTCATAATTTGTCTTTCTAAGAATTTTATTTAAATTTTTGAAAATAATTTTCTGCGCAGATTTTTTATATTTATGAAGATAATTAAATTCTTGTCAAGAATTTTATTCAAATTTTTGAAAATAATTGATTTCCTCCTCAGATTTTTTATATTCATGGAAATAATTTGTAAATGTTTCACAAGAATTTTATTAAATATTTTTGAAAATAATTGAATTTCTGCGAAAGATTTTATTATTTATAAAGATAATAATTAAAATCTTCGGATGAATTTTATTAAAATTTTTTAAAATAATTGAATTTCTGCGCAGAATTTTATTACTCATAAAGATAATTGAATTCTTAGTAAGAATTTTATTCAAATTTTTTAAAATAGTAAAAAAAATTTCAAATAGTAGATTTTAGTAGATTAGTACGAAGCCTAAAACTAACATTTATTCACTGAGATTATTTACTTCTTTTCCTAATTAATTTTCACCATTAATTATTATTAAAAAAAAAGTAATGAATAATTCTTTTCAGATGCATGTCTTAATGAAAGATTCATTGAAGAGAAATCTCTTGACGAATCCGACAAGAAAGTCATTGACGTCATTGACAATAGTGAATTAAATATCAACAATGAATTTTCCGACAACCATCAAGAATCTGAGAACAAATCATTAATAGCATTAAAGCAAGCTTTAGATCGAGCCACAGAAATAATTTGTCCTGCTGATAATTCATTACGATTTTCATCACATAAAACAGTAGATGAAATGACAAATGAAAAATCAATAAGCAATGATAAAGAGAAGGAAAATAATGACAATTTGTCATTATTACTCTTCACCGATAAAATGAATGATGAATGCAATTCTTGCCATCATACGGCTGCTTTAGCGAGAAGAAGATCTTTACCCGCTGCCTTGGGACAATCAAAAGTATTCACAAAAATGCCCGTTGGAAAATTATCGACACTTATGGCTGTAAGTAGAAATAAAATAGTTAATAAATATTTTCAAATATAAATATTTCAATAAAGAATGTATAATAAATAATTGACGACAAAAAGATTTATTCTTTTTTTTTTAATTTCTAGGATCCTTCGGACACCACATTTGAGGATCTGTACATTGACGACGACTTTGGTGAAAGTCTCAACGTAAATATGGTTCTTTTGGCAAATGAAAATCTCCTAGATCAAGATATTCTGCCGGATTTATTAGAACTATCACATAATTCCCTATTCAATCGATAAATTATTAATTAATAAGAATATTCTCCATTTATTTATTTTATGTTTTTTTTTCTTGCTGAGAAATTGTGATTTATGAGACGAGAATGTCTTAATTAATTCCAAAATATTGGAAAAAAGAAATTTCTTTTATGAGCAATGGTAGAAAAAAAAATGAAAAAAAAGAGCTCTCATTAAAAGTGATTGAGTCAGTTACCATTATTTATTTTTTAATTTTATACTATGATGTAATTTTATACAAAAAAGCTTTTATAATTTAAGAAAAATTTCCTTTTTTTGAAACTGACTAATATTACATTTAATTTACAACTTTATTTATTAAAAAAAGAAAAAGGAAGAACATATTTTCTATTATATGAATTCATCAATCATTATAAATTGTACAATATTTCTTTTCAATCAAAATATCGAAAAATTTGTATTTTTATGATAATGGACCATTTTTATATACAATCCAATATTCTGTGTTTAGAGAATTAAAAGAGAAATCATAATAAAAACTGAATCCTTAATATAATTCCTTCAGTAATATTTGAAAATTCACCCAAAAAAAGCTGAAAGATTGATAAAAAATTATGATTTGGTTTATTAATTATTCTCATTGTGCAACTAATAAAAAGTACCTTTAAAATAAAATATTGATATTCATTTCTAAAAACATTTGGTAAAAAATAAAATATTAAATTTTATCTAGAAATATTTATTTGCAATTTAAGAATAAAGAAAAAACATTGTGCTATTAATGAATAGGATTAATCTTAATTAACAATATTAAAATACTTAATTACATTATTAAACTTAATGCAATAAATAACTATTTTATTTTATAAAAATGTTTTTTTTTATTTTAATCGATTAATTAAGCACAACAGAAATATGAATGCCAAGAATAAAGAGGTTCATTCATTTTTTTCTTTTTCTCTATTAACGTAGGAAAGACCATTTTTTTCTCATTAAATAATGATTCGTTATTATTTTAATTTAACATTTGCTGCATTAGTTAAATAAAAAAGAAATTGTTTTTAAAAATCAATCGTCATTGATTAAAATTCTTGAAAAACTTTATAAATTCACAATTAGTTGGTTGGTCTTTGGATATTTTTAACTTTTCTTTTTATCAAGGGCACCATTTGTTATTGTTATATATATTTTTTTGATCTTGCCTGGACTAGATCTGTATAATTAACAAATACCTAGATTGAGAGACCAAACACTGAGACGATGCAGTACATGCTTTTATTTTCCCAACGAACTGTGCAACTTCCATCGGTGGCATTGTCCCAATAACAAGAACTCGCTGTATGTAAGCCTGCTCCATTCTTTTGCATTATCGTACACGTGACTAAAATACAATTACAATTTTGTTAATAAAATTTAATTAAAAATTATTAAACTTCAAAGGTAAATATTAAAAAATTTTGAAATAATTTTTTCCAATTGCATTATAAAAATAATAAAATTATTTAAAAAGTTGATTAATTTTTAAAATAAATATTTAATTGCTATGAATGTTCTTCACAGCAATTGAAATTTTCAAGAATTTTAGTTTAAATCCTTCTGAAATTTACAATTATTTTTTACAACTAAATTCTTTTGAAGTTAACTAAAATTAATTAACTTAAAGAATGTTATTTTAGAAATTAATTATTTAAAATAAATTTAATTATTTTGAGAAGTAAGAAAAATTTAAGACATTGTTTTAAAATTCATTGAATCATTGAGATTCAAAAGTAGTTAATGTGAAAAATATTTCAGTTCCTTATGTCTTTCAAGAATATTTTTGTCCACCAAAAATCAACTTTTTTGGAGTACAATTCTAAAAGTTTGTTCTTTTTCCAGTATTTTTGATAAAATTCCCTGACTTGGGGCAACCCTGAAAATTAATAAAAAGCAAATTGAATAAAAAAAGAATTACCTATATATTTATATGCTTTCTGTAGTTTTGTAAGATTTCCTAAACAAGCCTCGACAACATTCGATGTCCATTGATTAACTTTGTTGTGCATATAAGCATTTCCTCCAATTGACACCTCAATTGCTTCCTTGATAATTTTACTCACATCATCGACAACAAATTGCGTCTGAAATTAATATTTCAATTAATTTTCCTTTTCTATTTCAATCTTTAATTAACAAATTAATAATTAACAAATTTTATTAACAAATCCTTTGATTTTACTAACCTCTTCGTTCATATCCTCCATTTGGAAAAATTTTTATATTAACAAAATATTACAAATTTAACTAAATTATGAAAGTAGAGAGTAGATTTGATGAATTAATTAAGAAAACGTTGTACACAAGAGACGATAAAATTCCTGATAACCTGATACACTCTGAAAACAATGGAATTTTTAATTAATAACATGAAACTATGCACTTTTCTACAATTGTTTTTCGTTATAAAGAGACATTCAAAAACAAGATTTCGTATTCTTAGTTACAGTAGACAAGAACAATAAAAATATTTATTGATATTTACATTTGTTTTCCAAATTTGACACATAACAAAAATTTGACACTGATTGTTATAGTTGACCTTGAATCGTAAAATTCTATAGATAAGAAAACTTTATTTCTTTTAGAATATCCATTGAATCGAAAAGATCGAAATACATCAAAGGGCTCTGAAGCCCTGAATATTTTAAAAATAGAAATTCAAATAGAATTGGTTAATTAATATTAATTCAGTAAATTTTCTATCTTATTTTGATATTAAGTGATATTAAGATCGTAGAATTAAACAAAAATTGTTAAATTGTCTTAAAAAATATATTTTTGTTCATAATATCCCGCGTTTATAAAAGCGTCCTCTATTGTTAAATTTTTCAAGTACAAACTAACATAAACATAACCTAAAATAAACACCCCGGTCCCTCCGACTTCTCTACTTTGTTTTTTGTGTTAAAGAGTGTTAAATTTTCAAATAAAAACAATGATAATCAAACAATTATTAAGGACAATTGAAAAAAGTGATTTAAAATATAAATATTATAATCACGTGATATCGAGATGTTATTGTATAGATTTAACCGAGGGACCTGCAAAGCGTCAAGAAAAAAAATTACGACAATGGCAAAAAGAACCCGACAAAAGTCCAAAAAGTATCTTTTCATTATTGGATAGAACACAATCACCAAATGCAAAAAAAGACCGTAAACCAGAAGACGGTAGTTTTTTTAATCCTATACGAGGAGAAGAACCCGATTATTCATTTCGTGCTTTAAGAGAAAATTATGCAAAATCGATTAAAGAAGTGGAAAAAGAAGAACAGAAATATATACCAGCACGTCTTAATATTCTTGGTTCCGATTTGGGAGTTGCTCATTTTGTTATATTTCGTGGTGGAAGAGTGAAATTTCGTCACAAAGAAAAATGGTATCAAAAAATCGATGATAAACAACCAGAAGATTTGCCCGAAAAATTTGATGCAAGATTCATTGCCGCAGCTATTGATTGTACCGATATGAAACTCTACTATGAGGGTCTTTTAAATTTTGAGAATCTCACACGTGTGAAATGGTTGAGTTTCCGTGGAAATCCAGTTTTTGACGAATGGTGTTTAGATCGTGTCGTTGGACAGATACCATGCGTGGAATATTTGGATGTTTCCAATTGTCCTAAACTCAATGAACGTGGACTTGAAGCACTCTATAAACTTTTTTATCTTAAAAAATTAATTGTTACAAATTACGAGGATTCCGTGGCTTTTGAATTGACCTGCCTGATGCTTGAGGATTGTAATCCTAATTTAGAATGTATAATTTTGAAACCAGGCGAAATTCATAAGGAAGAATACGAAGAGGAAAGTTAAATTTTTTGTAATTTCAAAAGAAAATAAATTAATGTAGATATAGTGTTTCTTTAAAAATTAACGTTAATAAAGATTTATTACCTTAAAATTAAATGAGGAAATTATCTTGAAATCATATGCTTATTCCTTCGCTTCTTGACATAACGCAGTTCAGCCTTATTATGTAAACCGTATGATTTTATGTTCTCATTGTCATTCACTAGATGTGTACCATTGAAACTGAGGTAATATTTTTTCCAAATATGCTTCCAACTTATTTGTTTCTTTATATTTTCTCTGCGTAGAGCCAAATTTGTGTCGCGCTTCACAGCTCTTTTTAAATCGAGAACTGTTGTATTATTTGGTGATACCTGGAGTAATTCGAAAACATTAACATAAAGTTTATTACATTTAATGCAGTATTGTTTTGAAAAATTTTAATTTCAATTCTGTTCAAATTAGTTTAATAAATCAATAATAAATTTAATAAATATTAAAATTCTTTCTAGATATTCAATTATATTCAAAATTAAAAAAAATACTCGTCAACATTTCAATTATCTTTCTAAATAGCAAAATTCTTCGCCGAAATCAAATATTTTGAAATTTTGGCATTAAATTCTTCACAGTAATAATTCAAATATTTAGATAAATTTAAAAATTCTTTTTAGGAATTCAATTATTTTCAAAAATTTGAATAAAATTCTTCCCAAGATTTTAATTATCTTATTAATAAATAATGAAATTCAGCGCAAGATATAAAAATAAGTAAAAAGAAATAAAATAAAATTAGCAAATAGAATTGAAAGAACTTACTACTACTCCTAGTGTTGGCAAATCTCCACGATTTAAATATAAAGTTATAGCCTGTCCCTGTGCAACTGCTGTCTGAGCTTTTATTTCTTCTAATGTTGCATCTTGTGGTAAATCTCCGAAAAGAGGATCACTCTCAATTATCTTACTAATTGCGTCCTTGGTTAATTTAACTAATTCCTGATGGGAAAATGTAACGTTCTCCTCCTCTTTCGTTACATCCAAATCACTGTCAACTTTTTCCTCTCCCTCAATACTCATAACTTCTTATCTGATTAAGAAAAATAACAGCGGAATTATTCCACGAAAACAATTATGCAAAAGAGAACAACCTGCAAAATATGTTTACATTTATAGGTTAGAATTGTCGGACGATTCGAATTTAGGCTAAATTTTACAATTCCTTTCAAATAATTATATGTTTGAAACATACCTGTAAATTAACACTAGATTCGAGAGAAACATGAAGTACTTTTTGATGTTTTTGGATTAATTTGATGATTTATGAAGTGTATAAAACCCCGGTTGACACCTTTATAAACAAACCGAAATTTAACGAACTTCGAGCCTTCGGGCAACTTCGTCAAATCACAATGCACATGCTTGAGTTCGGCGCGATTTTTTAAAATCAAAATAAAAAATACAGAATCGTTTCTCTAAAAAAATTATTTATTATCCAAATTAACGATTCTTGAAATGAAATCTCCAAATTGAAAGCTTTGCTCGAATAAAACAAATTGACATTGTGTACAAAGATATATTTTATTCTCTATAACAACTGTAAAATTTGGCTGTTAACAGCCAAATAAAATTGCACTACAATTTCGACTACGTTTGCAAACTGTGCCTTGGATATAACGCTTAACAGTTGTTTAAACACTTTGTTTATAACAGTTGTTAAAAATAATATAATATTTTAAAGAAGCCGTACAAAAAATTAAAATCATCAAAAATTATATATCTACACACAAATTGTATTATTTTTGATGATAATAAATTTTCAGGATTTTCATTTGAAAAAACTGCCACACAGCATAGCTTGCAAATGGAGACATCGAAAACAAACTTATATGAATTCTTCGATTGCCTGAAGAAATAACATAACGATCTTAAACATATGTCAGTCTACAAAGTTATACTAAGAGTGTAAAAGGTTCTCATAGCAGTCGCAATAACAATCAATAACGTCTTTCATGCATTCACAGAAAAAAAACCAAAAAAAAAAATTAAAATTAAAAAAAAAAACCGGGCGCTTACAATATTTACATCACTATTCGATCAAAAAAATTTGTTTTACCAACACCACACACATTCATTTATAGCTGTTGAGAAAAAATTTCCTTCTTTCTCTTTTTCTTTTTGAAATTTGTAAAATAGTCTTCCAAATAAAATCTGGTAAAACGAAATCTTTCCATTTCTGATGTATATAATTTTTTCGCGAAACGAGGACTGTGAAAAAAAAATTTACAAAACTTTATAAATCACGCTTTCCACATTTTTCTATTTTTATTGTCTACACTTTGCGCTAAGCTCTCACGCCCCCTTCAGACATGTGTTTACTCGGCAAATTTTGTATTTTAAATATCTTTTCAACGACCTGCTAAAATATCCTTTTTAAGAATTAAAAAAAAAACAACAGATCTTGTGCAGTCGTTTTTTTTCTTTTTTGTTTCTTCAAGCGTATTGGAAGCATCAATTATTTACACGGCTTCTGATAATTTGTTTATATATGTCTATTATTAAAAATCACTGAGATCCAAAGTCGATTGAGACCTGTTACTACGTATATAAAAAGAAACGACCTCGGGAAATATAATTTAATTAATATATCCCTTAATGTGCTCTGAGGTTCGAGTACTAGATAAACTAAATTGTTTTCTGACTCACTTGTTCGTTATCTCCGATAATAATAACGTTTGTTTTTTTTTCGTTTGCTACAAAATTTTGTGATGTTTCTCAATTGAAATTCCCACACGACATTCTTCCTTCTCATAGTGACTTGGTAAGGTTGTTAAACAATCTCTTACCCCACCATGACTCCAAATCGAATGGTTTGAAATCTGTAAAAGAAAAAAAAGTTAATAAAATAAATTAATTAATTAAATTAATTACATGAATAGGTCTCGGATCGATATTTTAATTCCAAAACATTGTCGTCTTAGTCGATTCAAATTATTAAAATTGACAAAAAAGTTGTATATTTTGTTCAAAAAGTTTATAATATGATTTTTATTTATTAAAATAATTGAAAACTTAAAAAGCCTTTCCCTGTTTTCCAGATAAGTTTTTAACTCTTTCCCTTATTTTGATAATAACTTTAATTATAAATTTTTGTAAAAATTAATTTTTTCAAAGAACTAAGTTTTTAAAATTGTTTTATTAAAATTATTTAAAATTCAAAATTTTAAAAATTTTAATTTGAAACCTTTTGAAATTTTTTTTTTTAATTATATTCAAGGATTGATTTTGATTACTCGAAAATTTAATAATTTTTTTGTTCAAAAATTCCAAAAAAATTACTAGTAAGTAAATAATTTAAAGAAAAAACCTTGAATCAAAGTTTTTCAAAGAACTAAGTTTAGAATTTTTCGTTAAAATTATTAAAAATTAAAATCTTTAAAAATATCTGTTTGAAACCTTTGGAAATTAAATTTTTTCTAACAATTTTACCATAAATATTCCAATATTCAATTATTTTCTAAAATATTTAACCCGAATCTTTTCTAAATCAATTTTTTAAAATAATTTTCTCGGAAGTTCTTTGAGACTTGTATGATTCAAAAAATAAATCTTATTTTTTAAAGTAGTGGGAAAAAAATCATATTTTCCAAGAACTGCATACATAATAGCAGGTAATTACAGAAATTGGTCTTACCCTGCAAAATATCATTTGGTTCACCATCATTATAGTAGACTATCGAACTTGGACCTATAAAAAAACATTTTATCTTATTTATTCAAGTGTAAAAAAAATATTTTCACTAAGTCTTTAATATTTAAATTTTCCCTGTATTCTTAGTTTTGAAAACATGTTTTTTTTTACCTTGAATGGAAAAATATGTTTACAACTATATTTAAAATTGTAAATTAGAAATTCAGTTTTTCCGAAAGTAGAAATTTTGATTTCGAAATCTTATTTACTCACTGGAAGGTTCAGAGCAATCGGAACCGTTAGACGACGAATTCCTTTGTCTGATGTTTACTTGGCTCCACGCTGCAATAGATGAAAGAAATTAGAAAAAAATATATTTATTAAAAAAAAGAAAATAACGCAAAATAAATTTAAATGTGCCTTGAAAATTAAATAAATGCAAATATTACAATGCAAATTAATTATTCGCTCGCCCTAAAAGTCGAACAAATCACCGTGACTCAGGAGTTCAAAGTACAAAAGCTTATAACTATTACAAACTCTTCCCTCATTTATTATTTTCATTTTTAAAAATACTTACATTCATAAACGAATTTGATGAGTTCTTCATGTTGTGGTGTAATAACTTCTTGAATTTGATGCCTTTGGGAATTTAATTTTGATTTTCCATTCATGTGAAAAACCGGTTTTGGTACATGACTGTAAATAATTTTATTAATTAATAATTTAGGTAAATTGATTTCTATTTACCTCAAATTATTTCCATTTCAATAATAGAAAAAATTAATTTTTTTTAGTATAAAAAAGTTAACTTTTTTTAATAGAAAAAATTTCAAAAAAATATTTACAAATTTTGAAAAATCGAGAAATATGAAAGTCATGTTGGCTTGATTTTCATAAGCAAAGGTCGTTTATAAAAAAAATAAATGAGAACAGAATTTTTACTCTCTTCGAGTTATAAATTTTGTTAAATAAACAATTTTTTCTTTGGCAATAAAAAATTAAAATTATTTATTATAGGAAGGTTTTTCAACTTAAAGACGAGGGACAATTCGATAAGAAAGAAATATATGTCTAAAAACAAACTTATCAATTGATAAGATCAGTTTTCTCCACGAGGTTACGAAGAATACTTGCGGGTAAAAGTGAGGTTAAGAATAGAAAATATCATTATAGTTTTTTTTTACCGGATAACATCCTGATCATCATCGGGATCTGGCTTTCTGGTAAGATCTCGTAACGTTTCTAATCGTTCAAGATTTTGATTTATTCCTAAAAAATAAAATAAATTTCTTTTTTATAAATTGATTTTATATTCTTTCTTTTCTATTATAATTCTTGAAACGATAGAGTTTATACCTATATAAAGATTTCATCATACTGTGAAAAAAAATTGCTTACCTCTTCGTGTTTTTGCCACAATTTTACTTGGACCTTTTGAAACCGTGTACATGATTTTTCCAAATTGTTGTGTTTAAAAAAAAAAAAAAATGGTTAAGAAACTTGTAAAAATTACAAAATAAACTTGAACTACAATTCAAGACTGCTCACATGCTACTGCATATGAATGAGAGAATTTTTTCGGAGCACGTGAGCGAATTTTCCTCACTCGTAAAAGAAGGAATTTCAGTTTTCGACATTATGTATATACATAATACGAAAATACGATCAATTTAGAAAAATAAGAAAATTTCTGCTTGTATAATGTGAATTATCCTTCGAATTGCATAATCACTTTTGGAAATACAAAATTTTACATAAGACAATATTTAGAAATAATTGTTTATATAAATAATGCAATTATATTATTCTAAATGTTTTAAATTTCAAACATTTGTAAAAATTAAATAACAAAACTCGGTGAAAATACATTATGCAATTAATGAAAAAATAAGACCGCAAATATTTGAACATTCGTAAATTGTATTTTCTTTCTGTTAAAGAAAAACATGACAAAAATGCGGAAAAAATGTTTATAATTTATAGGTTATGTTCGACTTTGAAACCGGCCTTTAAATTTAGTTCGACATTCTGTCACTAGTAATGCTTAAATCGCTATGTTTGTATTGTAACTGACAAATTTTGATGTTTGTATACACGATACTTTGATTTTTAGTCATTTATTCATTTCTTTTAACATGGAAGAAGATCAAAATGACACACTTGGAAGAACATTAATAAGTATCACAACAACAAGTAGAAGAAGAACCAGACAGTTTTTTAGTTTTCGAGAAATAGACCAAAATGAACCCATAGAATACGACGAAAGTTTCGAAGGTACGTTTGTTTACATTCATAATTTAGAAACGAAATTATCATCATTTATGACATAAACTCGTGAGCATAATTCTCAAACTATTTAAAATGGTAAAATTGATTTAAACATAAAGTTGTCATAAAGTATATCAGTGTATATATTGCTTATTTACTTGATTATGTCTCTTAAATAAGCTGCTTATTTTTGAAAGTTTAAACTTTTTTGCCTTCTAGGATATTTTTAAAAATTATAAGACTGAAATGAAAAATAGTTAAATATTTATGTAATTAAAAGTTAATTTCTTAATTATGAAACTATTTTATAATAAATGGAAATTAGAAAAAGTGAAAAATATAATTCATTTGAATGTTCAAAACTTTAGGGAAATTGTAGAAATTAGAATAATATTAATTTGTGATTGAAATTAAAATTTTTAGAATTGGTGAAAAAGACTTGGACTTTGTGGGGAGTGTCTTCATTATTTAATTTCCAATATGATGATGAGATTAAAATGAAAATGTATGCTAAGAAATTGCGAGAGGAGGTGGCACGTTCAATTTTGAAAGAAAACGTCTCATATACGGCAAAATTTACCCAACTGAATAATTTTGGTCCAAAACCAAGTCCTAAGGATGCTCCGGCAATTCGGGTAATATTTCACTGTCGACTGGATCAATTAAATTAATTAATTCAGGGTTGCTACAAAAATTTAATTTTTACAATTCATAAGAAAATTCTGAATTTTGGTGTATTTTTTGTTTGCTTCATAAACTATGAAATTACATACCCACGAATTCTTATACAAAACATTCAATTTTTTTTTATTTCTGACAATAATTTCTTTTTAAATAACTTAATTGAATTTTAAAAGCGTTTACAATTTTCATAAATAGATGAACTTCAATAGGTTTCAATTTGAAATTTTATAGAATTTCAAATTTTTTTTTTAAGTATCTAATCATTTTTAGCGTCAATTAAAATATTCTGTATATTCAGGGAAAAAGTGAAAATTTTGTCTGAAAAATCAGGGAAAAAGAAAATTAATTTTTTGTCGCAACCCTGAAGAAGAGATAAATTTTTAATTTAATAAATTTCAGATAGATTTATTCGCCACTTTGGGAACTGTAGAAACATGTGTTTACACAGGATTTTTAATTTCTTGGCGAACTAGTACAATTGAATTAATAAATCACGAGAGTGTCTCTCTACCACTTCTTTTATGTAAAGGCACTCAAAGTACAATAGGAGCTGTTCATTCGGTTTTATCACGAATGTTCGATTGTATTGTCACTCCATTGCCAATTAATGAACACGATCTTAAATGGCTCACTGCGATTAATTTAAGTGCACTAGGATCGAAGGGAAAATCAAAAGACGATTTGATGATCTTTGAATACGTAGTGCCGAGATTATCAATTGCAGACACTATCAACGTCAAATTTACCTATAGGGACTTGAGAAAACTCTGGACTAAGTAATTATTATTACAATTATAATATTTTGCGAGAAAAATTGTTGAAAAATTGTAGAAAAATTGTTAACGTTTGAAAATTTCAATTTACAGTGTCTGTGTCGGAGACGAGGAGAGTGAACAAACCATTCGAATAGAATGTGTGGAAAAATTATTTAAAATAACTAATAGACAAATGTTAGAACTGGCTGGTTTAAATTTAGGACTATGTAGACTTCATAAACTTAGTCTACCGGCTTTTTCGATTGTAGGAAATAGAGTAAGTATTCAAATTTTATTCTATTAGTAGAATTTAGTAGAAACATGAAAAAAAAATAGAAATAGAAAAAAATAATTTTAGGAATAAAAAACTTACGTGAATTTTGAAGTTCTCATGAATATCATTTTCTTTTCCAGATGAAAGTAATGAATGCAGAAACTCTTAATAATATATTGTTATTCTTAAATGAAATTGCTTTGGAAGTCGCTCATATTTATCCTTTAGGTGATGATTTTAATTCGTCGTCAGTAAGTAATGTGCAGAATGTTGAGACACCTTCAAATTAATTTCAATTTTCATCCAAATAAATATTTTTCATTACTCTTGTAAAACGTACTTTTATTCATTACGTTTCTAATTTACTAAAACACTTTTAAGTCGAGGTAGCTCACTGTTTTCAATGTAAAAACATAAATATAACTTCTAAACAAATTTAAATCGTCGAAAAATAAAATAACTATATTATTTATATATACATCTATGAAAGTTCATCACAAACAGTTTCCATCTGTAAATTAAATTAAAAAAATGATTAAATGTACATATAGTTAATTTAAAATTAATAAATAATAATAAATATTTTCAAAAATTATTGAAATTTTAAAAAGATTTAAAAAAGAACTTACAAGTTCACTTGTTACTTTCTTCTTCTTTTTCGAAATATAATGCTCAAGATCAATATATCCATTTGGTTTCTCGCTCATTGATGAGGGAACGGCGATGCCTAGGATTTCTGGGAGCATAAATGGTTTGAGCCACGTTACAAGTGGAGTTCGTCCATGTGTATAATCGGCTTCACGATGAAAAAATAAAATTCCATCTAAAGTTATAGATGGTAAATTTTCTAAAACGGAAGACATATTACTGTTACAGAATACTCTCGGTAGTGGTGCAATTGGATATCTATTTTTATTTGAATTCTTTTCTTCCAATTCCTTTATGTCACCCAATTGATGTTGCAGCCAATAAAATCTAAATTCTGTCTGCAATAAATTAAAAAGTAATTTTTAATTTTACTTTATTTAATCTCTGTTCAGTGTTCAAATTTTGAATTAGCAAATAAAATGCTTAGTAAGAATTCAATTATTTTTATAAATAATAAAATATTTCGCAAGAATTTAATTATTTACTTAATAATAAATATTTTTGAAAGAAGTCGATTAATTTTTAATCTTTTGATAAAATTCTTTATAAGAATTCAATTATTTTCAATAGAATTTTAATTAATTAAATTATTCCAAACAAGTCAATTGTCTTTAAAAATTGTAATCAAATTCAATTATTTTCATAAAAATAGTAAAATTCTTGGAAAAATTCAATTATTTTTATAAAAATAGTAAAATTCTTCGCAAGAATTCAATACATTAATTTAAAAATTCAAAGCAATTGAAAGGGAAAATTATCAAAAAAAGTTAGGAAACAAAAAAGCTTTCAACCAATTTCAAATTGTGAATAAACTAGCGGAATACGATTATTAATATTTGTTAATTGCTTGTTAATTAATTAACTTACTTCACAATTGGTAAATGGATAATTGGACCATGCTAAAATATCCAAAACATAGTATTTTTTCTCCTTTGGCTGCCAAATACAATCTAACATTGAACAACTGCTTTTATAATCTTCTGAGGAACCACCAGGAAGTGCTGAATTGAACGTTGACAATTTTCTGCCACGTCTATCGTACGCCTTGGTTTTACCCTGTAAAAGAATTTAAATTAATCTAAAAGTCCCTTTAAAAAGAAAATTTTTGCTCAACTACAATTTAAATAAATATTTTTCACCTTTCGAGCTACGAGGAGAACTCTTCGACCTTCTGGACAAGGAACCATTATCCACTTGTCTATGAAATCTTCAGGTACTTCCAATAACCATTCCGATAACATTAAATGATTTTCATAATATTTATGACGATGTTTAAAGAATTTCTTTTTTGCTTTCTTAATATCTACGTCCATTTCTTCTTCTTCATTTTCAGAATCGTAGTCTTCAGGTAAAATTCCTCTTGTATTATTATAACCAGTCTCTCGATTTCTAGAAAATGCATTAATTATTAAATTATTAATTAATTAATTAAATTATCTAAATATGAAATGAAAAATAATTTCTTTAGACAAAAACTAACCGTTTTTGCTGGTTAAGAAATTCTTGTCGTCTTGTTTCTTGTGGGGAATCATCATAATCTATTTCTAATTTAAAATTATTTCTACTTATCGGTTTCTTATAAAATAAAGATCGATGATTTCCATTTTGCGTTTCTTTTGAATCAATACATTCAGCCATTCTGTTTTTTTCGTCAATTAGTAAAATATTTCAACTGCAATTTTGTAAGAATAACATTAACAAGAAGTTTGATATTTATGTTGAAAAGAGTCAGTTAAGCAGTAATGGAAAAGATTAATTTAGAAAACAAAAAGTTAATCAAACATTGTTGAATATTAAATATGATATAAATAATAATAATAAAAAATTACTTGTCAAACAGTTACTTAACATTTATTATCATTTAATATTGATAATAATTGTGAACAAATAACATGATTTTGACAAGTAAAAAAGTGAGGTTAGGAAAATAGATTAATACAAATTTATGTCATTACTCAACCAAATTATGTAAATTTGATAACTATTTGCTTTCTAACAGATAAACAGTAGTTTTATAGAAAAAATAAAGAGAATTAACGTGAAAAACCTCACAATATTTATGTCCTCTTGTTATGAATTCGATGACATGTCAATAACTATCAAGTCAGTCAAATAATATACAATTTTTAAACAACGAATCATTTCCTCTTCAATAGAAATGTAAAATTCAAAAATCACCAAATGTCACTAATTAAATACATTAATAATTCACAATAATTCAATTTGCTAACGTTTCTATTTTTGTTTGTAAATAATGACAGGACAATAAGTGTCGATAATGTCACTGGTCGGTAAGGATGGAAAATGTTGCACCTGATCACAACAGGTTGCATACTATTAGGGGAAGTTTAAATTTAAATATTCAAAAATTGAATGAATAATAAATTATCAAAAATGTTATGTAAATTGAAGTTGACATTTATTATTACGTTTGTCATTAAATAACATGTCTTTTATATCTTTAAAACAACTTGTTCCGAAAATTTCAATTATATTTTTTTCCTTGAAAAAAAATTCAATGGAATTAAAAATTCAGTTACATAATTTTACTTTAAATTGGTTTAATATATGCTATGTATCTGCAATGTTTTTTCTTCGCCTTTCTGAAAAGTACTTGTAAAATTCGAAAATTATTCTTGTGCAATGTGGTCCTTATAAATGTCGATATTAATCATTAATAATGTTGTAAAAAAAATATAAACGTATTATAAAAAGATGTATAAATTATAAAATAACTAATTATTAGTTTAAATCAAGAATTACTTTTTCCTTCGTGTAGTTTTTTTTTAAAAATAAATAACAATATAATTATATTATTAAAAAATTGCATTACATTTATTAAAAATTAAAAAAATGTAAATATAACTATTTATAAATATATTTAAATACAAAAAAATTTTAAATTCTTGCATCTATTAATTAATTAATTAATTAATATTAATTCAAAAAATAGTTTTTTTTAAATAACAATTTAATTATATTTTTATAAATGGAATATTATTTAAAAAAATAAGAATGTAAAAAATATGATAAATATAACTATTTATAGATTTATAAATACAAATAATATTTAAATTGTTGCTTTTATTGGTTAATTAATTTTAATTAATTAATCGTTAATTCAAAAAATATTTTTTCCTTCGTGAACTTTTTTTAAAAAATAAATAATATAGTTATTTATTTATTATTATATTATAATTATATTATTAAAAAAATGGAATTATTTTTTTTAAATTAAAATAAGATAAATGTAACTAATATTTGTAAATATATATAAATACGCAAAAAAATTAAAATTGTTGCTTTTAATAATAATTAATTAATTTCAATTAATTGATAATTAATTTAAAAATTAATTTTTCCTTCACGTAGTTTTTTTTAAGTAAATTACATTTATAATTACATTATTAAAAAATGAAATTTATTTCATAAGAAATTAAAAGAAGATGTTATTTATAATAATTTATCATTTATAATAATTAAATTAAAAATAACAAAATATAAATAATTATGACTTATTATTTAATCATAAGAAAAATAAAAAATTATAAATAAAAAAAATGCAAAAATATGAGTAGAAAATAATAAAAATTAAAAATAATGAAAGAAATACTAAAAGAGTTTTAAAAACTGTCCATTAAATTAATTTTAATTTCAACTGTGCAACTTACAATGTTGCGGTATTTGAACATTATTTATTATATGTCAAGTCAAAAAGGCTGTTATATTATTGTCAGAATTATAATTAGTTCTGACATGATGTTAATGAGTCGGCTTCAATTTATAATTAGACACAAGTACTGATATGTTTCAAAATATGAATATTATAATTATATATTCTTCAGATTTTTATTCTTTTTTCTTGACAGAATATTGACATTTTCCTTAAATAAAAAAAAAAAATTATTTTATATCTTTAAAATATATTTTCTCCATTCATTTCATTTACTACTTTTAATTCCAGAATCGCATTAATAATTGAAAAATTAAAAAAAAAAAAATAAGAAAGAAAATAGAATTTTTTTTTCTTTTTGCAAATTTTCATTACAGTAGACAGTTTTGATTTTTGTCTGGAATTTCAACCTTTCACGGATATTTGCTCTTATATCTGTCCTTGAGTTCATATATTTATAAAGGCAAATATTAATTCTAACAAGGACGGCCACTGCCCGGTAATTCAGTTATGATTTCTTTTACATTCTCCTATAAAAAGTTATTTTCTTATATTAAAAGACGCGTATCAGAAAATAAAATTTAATTAATTTCAAAAAATAAATCGCATTAATATTGCTAAATTATTAATATTTTTGCACTTCAGTGAAACAAAAAATTTGATTACCTGTCTATTTTTTTATTAAATAAAATATTTAATTGAATCAAATAATTTTTATTTCAATCATTTAAATGGTATTTGCTTAAAATAGTGAAAATATTGGCTCAAATTATTTTGATTGAAATAAAAATGGTTTTAAGTAGAAATTGTTTGAGTCATTTAAAATTTATTTGATTTAAGCCTAAATTATTCGATTCAAGAAAAAATTATTTGATTAAAAAATTAAATAAATTTTTTTTCAGTCTAATAGAAGAAAATGTTCTTATTTATCAAAAAGATAAAAGATGGATTTAAAATTTTATTTAGAAATTTTTTTTTAGTTATTTTTTTCTATATTTATTTTTAACGATGCGAATTTTATACAAAGACAAAGAAAATAAAGTTACTTTTTTTACTTTCTATTATCAGTAGAAAATAAATTTCGATATTTATTTGAATTTAGAACATAGATACTAGAAAAACAATTGGATTTCAAAATTTCTTTTTTTATGTAAGTTTGTCTGTTTTAGTTTCAAAATACGAAAGTTTAGAGTCACGCAAATTTGTATTTTAAAAACGTGATATGACTTTTCAATATTTTTTTTTATTTTTTTTTCAATTCACACATGAATTCGAAATTAGGTGTTGAGATTTTTACCGTTTTTTAAAAAATGAAATATGAATAATTAATAACAATTGATAAAAAATATTTATAATTCACCTAACAGATTAATTGTCTAGAATCAAATAAATATTTACTTGAATCAAATAAATTTTTTTTCAGTGTAATAATAATAATAATAATAATAATAATAATAATAATAAAATCATATTTTGGTGAGAATAAATTGTATCAATGCATTTAATTTGTATCGCAATATAATATATGATTTGTTTATGAAAAAAAGAATGATGAAACATGAATGATTTTGTTCCTATTCGAATGATACAAATATTAACAATAATAATAAATTATTAAATATATTTGTACGTGAAAGCTAAAATATATATGTTCATTACGTGATAGTCGGGGCTCATATATCATTTTACTCTGCTTCCGCAAAGAACAATGGACCGTTTAATGTTAAAGATTGTATGCAATCTGTTGAAATCTCGGGGGTTATTAATATTCTGTTTTGGAATTTACAAGTGTCACTTCCTCGTTTTTAGTCGTTTATTTCTTTTCCATATTTCAATTTTTCGACACTATATATTTTCAGGATGAGACCATATAATTGATTATTAAATATAACAAAAACTGAATTAAATTTATAAAATTATAGTCCCAATGACAAAAAAAAGATTATAAATATTTTTTACTGTAAAATATTAAGTATAGATTTTTCGAATTTAGATTTAATTTTTCAAATTCAGATTTAATTTTTCAATTTAGATATGAAATTTAATTTATTTAAATAAATTTATTTAAATTTATCAATTTATCTAATTAATTTATTTAAATTAAATAAATGGATATCAAATTGTGTCTTACAAAAAAAGACAAATATAATTTTCTTTAACTCAAATAAATTTTTTTTGGTTTAAATAAAATTATATTTGTCTCAGAGTCAACAAGGTTCTCTATTTGTTTTAAATAAAAATTTAATTCGACATAAATGAATCAAAATATCAAAATAAAATAAAATTTTGAATCAAAATAAAATTTTATTTCAACTAAATAAATTTTATATAATTTGTAGACTTTTTTTTAATTTAAAAAAAAAACTTTATTTAAATCAGAGAAAATTTATTTGAAACAAATAAAAAGTCTAGTTTGCTCTGAGTCAAATATATCTTTTTTCTGGATATGAAAATAATTTATTATCAATTATTTTAGTTATTAAAAAAAGTAATTGTGCGCTGAGAAAAAAATGATTTGGTTCAAATAACCGATTAATTGTCTATTATTTAATAAATATTTACTTGAGTGAAATAATTTTTATTTAAGCTAAATAATTTTTATTTGAATAACAATACACTAAGAAAAAAAATTTATTTTATTAAAATAACCGATTACTTGAATAATAATAATTAAATATTTACTTGAATTAAATATTTTTTATTTGATTCAAGTCAATGGAGTTAAAATACATTTTTACATGAACTAAGTAGACATTTACTTGAATCAAATAAATATTTGCTTGAATCAAATAATTCTTATTTTTTTTTATTTGAGTCAAATGGTATTTCCTTTAAATACTGAAATTATTGATTCAAATTCAATTTAATTGACTCAAAAAAAATTATTTGATTCAAGTAAATATTTATTTGATAATAAACAAGTAATCAGTTATTTGAATCAAATTAATTTTTTTAGGGATAATAATAATTCATATTTTTATGGTTTTTTTTATTGCTATTATTAATTCATCTTATTATTATCAATCAATCATAATTGTAATTAAATCTAAATATATGATAAAATTATAATGCGTCAATCAAAAATAAAAAACACATTTCCTTTTATGAAAGGGATTACATTTATTATTATTATTATTTTTTTTAATATTATAAATAGGTCCTTCAAAATTGTATATATGAATCTATTCGATTGATCGAATAGAGACTTATATCCTATATATACATTTTTGATTATATAATTCGAAAGGTAAATGCACGAGGATCTCGTGTCCATTGAGCACGATGTGAATATAAATCGACTTTTGATCATAATCTGGACGTGCACAGCTCTAAAGTGACATCAACTACGATATTTTCAATCGATCAATTTCACTTTCATTGAAACATCGTTTGAATGAATCACTTTTACCGAAACAAAAAAAAAAAGAAAAAATTGTTTCACGCCGTCTATTTTTTTTTTTTTTTGTTTTAAAATAAGAGAGAGTGGACCAATTAAATTTTTTTCACCTGCTGCAATTGTGTTTACGAGATGCGTCCATAAAAATGTCGAGAAAAAATCGTATATATGCACTATAATTGTTAAATTAAACAC